TGTAAACTTTTCACATTTTCGACTTCTTCTCAAGAACTACTGGGCCAATTTTGACCAAACTTTTTACAAAGCATCCTTTGGTGAAGGGGAATTTAAATTGTTAAAATGAAGGGCCAAGTCCCCTCACAAGGGGAGATAATCAAGAAAAGACAAAAATAGGGTGGGGTCATTAAAAAATCTTCTTTTCAAGAACCACTGGGCCAGAAAAGCTGAAACTTCTGTGGAAGCATCCTGGGGTAGTGTAGATTCTAAATTGTTCAAATCATGACCCCCGGGGTAGGACGGGGCCACAATGGGGCATCAATGTTTTACATAGAAATATATAGGAAAAATCTTTGAAAATCTTCTTTTCAAGAAGCACTGGGCCAGAAAAGCTGAAACTCATGTGGAAGCATTGTAGGGTAGGGTAGATTCTAAATTGTTCAAATCATGACCCCCGGGGGTTGGGTGGGGCCACAATGGTGAATCAAAGTTTAACATAGAAATATATAGGAAAAATCTTTGAAAATCTTCTTCTCAAGAACCACTGGGCCAGAAAAGCTGATACTGATGTGGAAGCACCCTGGGGTAGTGTAGATTCTAAATTGTTCAAATCATGACCCCCGGGGGTAGGGCGGGGCCACAATGGGGCATCGATGTTTTACATAGAAATATATAGCAAAAATCTTTGAAAATCTTCTCCTCAAGAATCACTGGGCCAGAAAAGCTGAAACTGATGTGGAAGCACCCTGGGGTAGTAAATCATGACCCCAGGGGGTAGGGCGGGGCCACAATATGTATTACAAGGGGGAAATCTGGTAAAGAACAATATGACAAAAGATTCTCAGGTGAGCGATGTGGCCCATGGGCCTCTTGTTTTTGTTTTTTTTTTTTTTTTTAATTCCTTCCAAGAATTAGACATTAGTTTTCAATTATTTTTAGGTCACCTGAGTAACTCAGGTGACCTATTGCTATCTGTTTTCGTCCGTCGTCGTGTGTCGTGCGTTGTGTGTTAACATTTGAACATTTTAAGCTTCTTCTCTGAAACCACTGAACCAATTTTAACCAAATTTGGTATACAGCATCTATGGCTGGAGGGGAACAAAAATTGTGAATTTCATGGTCCCCGCCCCCCTGGGGCCTGAGGGGTGGGGCCAAAACCACTAAAATTATTGCAATCTTTAAAAATCTTCTTCTTTACTCCTGGACATCAAGCAGGCAAAATGTTTGCATGAATGTAATGAGCATTGAGTCCTCTACCAAAATTGTGAAATTCATGGCCCCAGGGTCAGGGGTTCTAGTGCTAGGGCGGGGCTATATAGATTATATAGTAAAAAAGCATTATTTCTTTGAAAATCTTCTTCTCTGCTCCTGGGTATTAAATAAACTAACTAAGTACATAGTTATGATGAGCAAGAGAGCCTCTTCCAGATTTGTGAATTTTATGGCCCCAGGGTCAGGGGTTCTGGTGTTAGGGCAGGACTCTATTGATTATATAGTGAAAATGCATTTATTCTTTGAAAATCTTCTTCTCTGCTTCTGAGTATTAGATAGACTAACTAAGCACATTGTTATGATGAGCAAGAGTGCCTCTTCCAAAATTATGAATTTTATGGCCCCAGGGTCAGGGGCTCTGGTGTAAGGGCGGGGCTCTATTGATTATATAGTGAAAATGCATTATTTCTTTGAAAATCTTCTTCTCTGCTTCTGGGTATTAAATAAACCAAGTAAGTACATAGTTATGGTGAGCAAGAGGTCCTCCTACAAAATTGTGAATTTTATGGCCCCAGGGTCAGGGGCTCTGGTGTTAGGGCGGGGTTCTATTGATTATATAGTGAAAATGCATTATTTCTTTGAAAATCTTCTTCTCTGCTTCTGGGTATTAAATAAACTTAGTAAGTATATAGTTATGATGAGCAAGTGTACATCTTCCAAAATTGTGAATATTAAGGCCCCAGGGTCAGGGATTCTGGTGTTAGGGTGGGACTCTATTGATTATATAGTAAAAATACATTCATTCTTTGAAAATGTTTTCCTTTGCTTCTGGGTTTTATGCCAATGATCCAAGTATATATATTTATGATGAAGAAAGGTGCATCTAGCAAAGTGGTTTTTATGTCCCCTGGGTCAGAAGGGGGGGGGGGGTACATTGTCTGAAAATAAATGAATGCTTTGAAATCTGCTCTTTGGAATTAATCAACCATTTTATGATAAAATTAGCAAAATTTTAAAATATGTGGCCCCTGGGTCAGTGGTTCCTTTGGGGTGAGGTGCACAACTGAGTATAAAATGGAAGTGCATTTTCTTTGATTGTGATTTTCATGGCCTCTGATTGAAAATTCGAACCAAATTTAATTGTTTGAAATTTGTTACACAATACTCAGGTGACCTATAAGGCCCGTTGGCCTCTTGTTAATATACCCTAAAATCTTGAAAATAAGCCGCGGCTTATTTTAAGTTTTAGTAAGAAAGTGGGGGCTTATTTTCAAAACCGGCTTATTTTCAAATTCCGGCTTATTATCAATGCAAAAAACTGGTAAGAGAAGAGAGCACAATCAAGGTTACTTTCCATATAATCATTGAATAATATTTAATCAATGGAATGGGAACTACTTGTTCGATCTAAAATTAAAACATCATGAATATAATTTAATATAATATAAAATAATAACACTTTGTTCTGTATCTTGCGTGTAGAAACAATACTGTAAAAGTGAAAAGTTTGACAAGGAAAAAACATTAATGAATGACTTTAGCTCGTCAAAGTTTTCTCTCGTGATTTTTTTTTTAATCATTGGCGTTCCCTGGTGTACGTTTTCTTTAGGTCTATGGTGTTATCGTCTACTTTATATTTTGAGAATGTCGAACCCGAAAAAAAAATTCTTTGTATACAGCATATAAATTTACATGAAATATAAACTTATTTTTAAAAAGTAAAAATAATATATAAGATATCCGCTTGCAATTGAATCACTTGATAAATTAGTCAAACAAACACATATTTATCCAACTCAATTTTACGGTACATTGAAATGTAATTACTACCAAGCCCTGCCGATCAGCAGGCTTCTTGCCTCGGGCAGTGTTACCTGACAGTTAACTGCTTTACAAACAAAAACTTCCTTTTATCCGTTTACTTATTTAATTATAATAACTTTAAACACATCGTTAGCTTGTACAGGTCTAGATAAGATAATTATTGTTTTGAAAAATTCACCATGTTAGCTGGTTCCGCAATGAATTTTTTTTAGCCTGCGTAACATGCTTGCTGGTAAAAATAATTAACTTTAAAACCACCCTTTATTGTAATTTTACATAATTTCATAAGTAGCAACAGACTTCGTACTTTGTCGTATGCAGAAATTGGTAAAGGTGAAATGAATTAAAGAAAGATAACTCAGTTTTATTTTGCACAGTAAAAAAAATCGTCGAAGTTTTCAGTCGTCGAATTTTTAAGACGAGGCAATCGTCAAACGTTTAACATCTTTCCCAAATGGCATTGTCATGACCGGCTTATTTTCAAAACTGGCTTATTTTCGAGTAATTTTTAATGCAAGAAATAGGTGGCTTATTTTCAAAACTGGCTTATTATTAAATCCGTCTTATTTTCAAGATTTTAGGGTATTTGTTTGTTCTGTGGTGCAGTAGTTCTACACAAAAGGATAAATTTATGTTTATGACTGTTTTTCTCTTCTTGATGCCTAAAAAAATGTGGAAAACAATACAGTTAACAATTATATGAAAAGATAAATGATTTATTGGTCCAGTTTTGAACAGGAGAGGGTCACTTTATGAATTATGCATTTGAATTGATGTCTGGGGATTTTGGATTCAGATTAAATTTGTTTGAGCTGACTGTAATAGTTACTATTTTATTGGCATGTATTGGCTCTGAATCTTATAATTTAGGATCAACCTTCTGTTTTCAGATTTTTCATTGAGTCATTGGAGGAATGAAAATTTACTCACTGAATCTTTAAAGCAACCACAGATCAGTGAACTCTTGGAGATGCTGAGTTTACAACCATACATGAAGACCCATTCAGATTCCTGCAGAAGACATGAAGCTCATTATAGCAATGCAAGTTCTGATGGATGGAATAACGGTATTAATTTGTTAATGTTTTACTAAAATTTATTTAATGAAATGGAGTACATGTACAATAAAATATCATACCTGAAATATATTCACTGAATATCTAAATGTCCACCAGCTTTAGACTAATCGAGGTGGGTTTTTTTTCATATGTGTTGTAAAAATTTTTTTGATTGATGATTGGAGCTCTAGGAACACTTTTGACGCAACAGAAAGAGTTACCTGAAAATCACATTTTTGTTGGGTTAAATGTTTGAGAAAAGTTCAATTTTAAAGTGGTCTTGATTTATTGGGTCTCTTCATCTCCCAAATCAAAGATAAATATTTTATGCTGATATTATACACTATGTAAATGTACAGTAATTTGAGGAAGTTCAAACGTCTTATTCACAATTAATATTCCTTGTGTCCTAAAATATTCTGTTAATATTGTAGACTGCCCTTATTTGAACAATTTGACTTCATTGAATTCCTATCCCATGACATGTAACATTGACAACACCTGTACCAGGGTCACCTGTTGTGTTGACTCACCTGTAATCAACTCTACCTTTGAGGTTTTCATGGACATTGATCCTTGTACTAGAATGCTGTTCCTTGGGATTGAAAACCTGAAGGCTCAAATTCCTTTTCAGGATGTCAAATGGGGTAAATACATGTATAAGAAACAACTTGTTTTATTATAAAATTGCAGTTTTTAATATGCCAAAAATTTAAACAAATCATGAAAAGAATTTTTTATGTCACCGTGCGGAGTTATTCTGTTGACTTTTTGCTTTCATCCATCTTCATGCATCTTGATACATCATTCTTCAGTTATAATTTTTTTTCAATAATTTCTGTTTCTTTCCATTAAACACAAAAATTTTTTTAATAAACGTTATCACTTAACCATTAATTTACATATTAATTATAGGTAAGGAACATGACAGGTTAGTGTTGTGGTTGCTTATGGGTGTATTTTATTTTTATTTGCAGGCTCTAAGAACTATTTCTACCTCTTTGAAGTAATCCGTTTGGAGTAAGTTTATAAATAAAAGCTAAAATATTCAATATATATATCTTTGTTAACATTGATTCCAAGTATGTGCTCATGCTTTCTTAATGTTTCTTCTTTACAGTTACATTATTCATGACTTGTATACTCAGAATATGTTTCTGGTTGACTTGGTACTCTCCATCTGTTGGGAAACTTACAAGGCTTGTGTTTTTACTGCTTCAATATTCAAAAACACTTTCTTACATAAAAGACACTGTGTTGGGAACCTTAACTTTGAAATTCCATGTAAGTGCCTGACTAAGTTGTACAAAAAATATTCTCGTGCTTGGATTTTTTAAAAATATTTATGAAATCATATCAAGTCTGTCTTTTTATTACATGTACATACATTTGGTTTTTTTAAGCCTTTTCTCTGTCATCCTATGGTGTAACTCATGGCCTGGACTTGGATGATCTCTCCCAGGCTGATTTGACATACCTCTATAATAACCTGGCTATATCCAGTTATCTGTCCCCTGACATGTGTAACAGGACAAGTGAATTATACCAACCTTCAAAAAATGGTTGGAAAAACGGTGAGGAAATATATGCCACAACAACAGCTACATACATTTTCACTTTAATTATAGCTCCAAGATTGTTTAATTATATGATATTTTTATGCCCCCGTAAACGAAGTTTCGGGGGTATATAGTTTTTGTCATGTCTGTCTGTCTGTCTGTTTTTCTGTTTGTCTGTTTGTCCGCAAAAAACTTTACCCTTGCCCATAACTTTTGATTTAGTGGAGCTATGACTTTCATATTTCATATGTGTATTTCTTGTGACAAGACCTTTCTTTGGGTACCACCAAATTTGACCTTTTGACCTTGACCTTGGAGTTTGACCCACTTTTACATGAAAATTTTAAATTTTACTTTGGCCATATCTTTTGAACAGTAGACACCAGGACATTTATACTTCACATATGTATCACATATGTATCACATTTGTTTAAAGAACTTTCACTGTATACCAACAACCTTGACCCTTTGACCTTGACCTTGTAGATTTCCGTACTTGTGAAAAAAACATTGGCCATAACTTTTGAACGGTAAGGGATAGGGCTTTTATACTTCATATATGTAATCCTTATGAGAAGACCCTTCATTGGATATGAAGTTCCTTGACCCTTTGACCTTGACCTTTGAGAGTGTCCTACTTTAGAAAAGCAAACCTTGACCATGACTTTTAAAGACTTAGGGCTAGTGGTTTCATACTTTACATATTTGATCCTTATGACAAGATATTTCATTTGATAACATTAACTTTGACCCTTTGGCTTTGACCTTGACCTTGGAGTTTGACCTACTTTTTAAGAAAAATTTTAAAATTTTCCTTTGGCCATATCTCTTGAACAGTAGATACCAGGACATTTATACTTCACATATGTAATGTTTGATAAAAGACCTTTCACTGGATATCAACAACCTTGACCCTTTGACCTTGACCTTGTAGATTTCCGTACTTGTGAAAAAAACTTTAACCTTGGCCATAACTTTTGAACGGTAAGGGATAGGGCTTTCATACTTCATATATGTAGTCCTTGTGAGAAGACCATTGGATATGAAGGTCCTTGACCCTTTGACCTTGACCTTTGAGATTGACCTACTTTAAAAAAGCAAACCTTGATCATAACTTTTAAAGACTTCGGGCTAGTGCTTTCATACTTTACATAGTTGATCCTTATGACAAGACCTTTCATTTGATAACAATAACTTTGACCATTTGACCTTGACCTTAGAGTTTGACCTAATTTTTAAGAAATTGAACGTTGACCATAACTTCTGAACAGTTATACCTAGGACTTTCATGCTCTACATAAGTCTTTTATGTGGCAAGACCTTTCATTTGATACTAATTACATTGACCTTTTGACCTTGACCTTGGAGATTTTTGTACTTATTAAAAAACTGTAACAATAGCTTATTTTCAAATTTCACAATTGTTTTCCAGTGAGAATACCCTACTTTTGGTACCAATTAATTAAATTTACATTTAAGAAAAGCTTAATCTTTGCTATTTTGCCATATGGGGGCATCAGTGTTTTACAAACACATCTTGTTTCCATGGTATTAGTAATTCTTTGCTGTTTTTGATTAATGATGAAGGTGCAATGCCAGTTCTCATTTGTATATCTTGAATTGCTTCTGCTGATCTCTGAAATTTTACACAGAATATTTTTATAATTCCAGAATGCCCAGTTGCTGCAATCCTTGCAAAACTGCCCAATGAAGTGAATTGTCTCATTACTTCGAGTTGCACCAGCATAAGCTGTTGTATGGAAGTGACAAAGTTGATGTCCCGCCCTGTGACCTTTCACCTTTCTGTGGACAGTTGTAGTTGGATGATTGGTTATGGGATTGACAGCTTCATTGTAAATCCATTTGTCATGTATGATTTTGAATTTGATGTTTGGCATGAGTTCTGGATGAAGGGAATATTTCGTATGAGGTAAGAATTTTTTTTATTAAAATAAATTGAGCAGTAATTTTACCCTTTGTTTTGATGGTGATAATGTATATCACTCATGAAGGCAAAGAAGAAGGTACAGTGTGGGCTTTATTGCTTCCCAAAAATTTAATGTTCTTAAAAAATTATGAAATTGGCTTTATAAATAGTTGAGTAGATGAATATGATAGATCATTAAAGAATACAACATTAAGGAGGGCCATTCTGGATATATGACGTCATTAATTTGGTACTTTTCTAATTTTCATGCAGAATAGCCTCAGAATGACTCATTTCTGTGCATTTTTTCCTTTAGAAAATAGTCTCTGCCACCGTCGCCCACTTCGGTTTTCGGATATATTATGTGAAATGCTTAGAAAAATCACATATCCCAAAAACTTTGTGGGCGACCGTGGCAGAGTATGTTTTCTGAAAGTAAATTCCACTGAAAATTATGTCTTCTGCAACTTTTTAAAAAAATACGGGAAAATGCACAAGTTAATAACGTCACAATTAATATTTAGGAGGTCATATGAAAAAATGATTTTTAAAAAAAATACGGGAAAATGCACAAGTTAATAACGTCACAATTAATATTTAGGAGGTCATATGAAAAAATGATTTGTGTATTCTTACTGCATGGAATTCCTATAATTCAGAGAGAATAAATTTTAATTTCTTATATCACTTTCATATTTTAGAAAAATACATGGCTTAATTTGTATTGAAACTGTACCTTGTTCCTTAAACATTTCTTGATTACTGAGATTAGATTGTCTATCTCAAATATCAAGGATATGTTGAAAGCGGGGTGGAGTTTCCAAACATTGTATCAATTTTTTAAGCCTCAATATATCTTGTATTCTTATAAAAATATCGTGGAAGTTTGGCTATGTTCCATCTTGTTCAAGGTAAAGAGATGAGTTAAATGTTTATAATGTTATTTTACAGATTCTTGGTCACCAATCTACAAGGAATAAATCAATTCAGAATAAGTCTGTCCATCATAGCTTGTTTGGAGAGGGGGGCTGCATGTGATCAAGAGGTTGTCATACTCAACAATACAATTTTGCCCAAAGGATACTGTGAAAAGGCTCTTGGGACATCTGTTGAAGGTTATATTTGTAGAAATCTAAATTAATTGCAAGCATTGAAATTACATTATTCGTTAAAAATTAAAGGACTTTGTATATCTCTTATTTTTAAACATATAAATGTAAAAGCTTATGTCTATTTTTTTCATTTCATGTAAACAGTCAAGGTGTATCTATTTTGCCATATTTAAATATAACTATTTTTTTTTTTTTGGGGGGGGGGGGGGGGCATAATTTTGTTGTCACTTTCTTGGAGTTAATTGGGGTTAACATCATAGTGTGTGACTTTGGGTATCAAAAGATTTGATATTTTGACATTGGCGTTTGATCCACTTTTATAAAATTTTACTTTATTTAACCTTGCATGGCAATAGCTCTCGTATGGTTGGTGCTAGGACTTATATATTTTGCATGTGTATTTAAAGTTACCAGAGCTTTCTTTGCTTTTGACCCAGACCTTCGAGTATGACTTACTATTAAAAACTTTAACCTTGGTCATAACTTCTAAATGACTGGTGTTATGTGTTAGGGCTTTTATGTTTGACATATGTATTTCAAATTTCTTTTGGTACCAACCTTTTCGTTAAGTACCAACTTTTTGTCTCTGACCTTTGACGGTACCGGTGATCTACATTTGAAAATCTAAACTTTGGCTTTGACCTGTCTTGGATGGGAATCAGTGTTTTGTCTTCTAAAACTGCCACTCAAAAAATATTCATGTTGGAATTATTGTGGGAACAAGTCAGGTTTGTTATGAATTTAATTTGTTCATACCATAAAATTTCAATAATTCATTAAGCACAATGTACTACTGTATACTAAGGATATTTATTGATTTATGTATATACACGTGCTATTTCAAATACCATATGCATACTGTAAATCACTTTTTATTTGTGAGAACTTTATTTTTGCATAATTACGCGAGACAGTGGGATCGCGAAAATTTAATTCTCATATACATGTAATAGCTTACTTAAGATTATGTAGAGCACTATAACCACAGTTTGTGAAAATTTAGTGATCTACAGTATTTGCAGAATTTATAGAAAATTTTTTTTGTTGTTGTAGAATTTTCATTTGGACAATGGAAAGCAGACAAGAAGGTTACAACAATGAATGAATACAACATAGCTATCTTGGAGGAGGAACTAAGAATTTTTGGATATTTATACAACAGAACTCAAGCTTGTGATAAATCGACCAAATTGTCATTTTTATCAGGATGGTCTAATGGTAATTACCAGTACTACAAATTCAGTGAAACACTGGGTCAATGTCACAACAAAATGCTTATAAAGAATATTTACTTGGTGCAAAGGAATTTTTATTCCCTTTTCTTTTGAAACATATTATCTACTTATCATAAATAATGAATTAATTTGTTAACTTTATATCAAATCAAAATTGTTTGTTCCTGACTTTTTGCTTTATGTAGAGTTTAATTAGAGTTTATACATGGTACTGTAAATGATAACTAAATGTTTTTTTTTTAATTGTAATTTCAGACTGCCCAACAACTTTGATGTCAACTCTACCATACATTAATGGTCCATATTCATGTAATCTTGGACCGTCCTGTTCCGAGATCACTTGCTGTGTGAATGCTGAGCCAATCTCAAGACACCTAACAGTTGCAGTGAATTTGGAGTTCTGTCTGGACAAAGTTACAGTTGCTGTTGATAAATTTGTACTTGAAATGAGAGTCAACAAACTTGTCTCTTCAGGTATATAAAGTCCTCATTACACGTACGACTTAATATGCGATCTGCTGAACATTTAACTTTTTAAATAGAGAAAAGAAACATGAACTTTCTTCACCTTTTACCTTTTCCATCCTTGCAATCTTGTCTAACAAGTCAAACAGATTACCTAATCACTTTGAGTTTGAAATATTTCCCCTTCTTTGTAAACAATACTGAACAAATGTCTGGTCTGTTTTATAAATATTGCATGAGCCTTAGTTTTCAGTTCAAGGAATAATTATGTCCAAAAGGTATAGGACAAACGGAATGGGCTTAACATGTCAATCATAGATATTCCTCCAGTCGTCCACCGGCAAGTGGTGGTATCTCAATATGAGTGAAGAATTCTCGAAAGGGATGTTAAACAAGCAATTTTCCCCATATGAAAGCAAATGCTGAAAAGACATAGGTGTATGCATGATCATAATTTATGATTACAATATAGATGTTTGTGTGATTCAGAATATTTCTCCTTTGTAGTGTAAGTCAAAATATATTTTTCAAATAGCATAACGAGAGAATATCCTAATTATTAATTCTCACAAATGCAGCATCTTTTCATGTTTGTACAACATACAGTACAGTACTTGCTGAATGAAGTACATCATTCAATTTCCCATGTACAAACAAACATATAAGGCATACTTAGGAAATGCTAACAAAAATTGTTAGAAAAATCAATTTCTGCCAAATATTCATGTACTAGCAAAACAAGATACATTTACAGCTAGTTTTTTCTGTTGTAGGAAAAGAAGAATCTCTGAATATAAGTGGAATTTACCAGTTAAAGTAAGTCTGATTGTAATTACAAGCATGTTAAAAAGCATTAAAAGTATTCATATGAATTATTTATCTTAAATAAAGTTAAAAGATGAAAATTCTATATTTAGGTAGGACATAATAAATTGATTGCAAATCCTTGTTGTTTGACATTTATTTTAAATAAATTGTGCCTTTTTTAATCTAAAATTTATCTATCTTTAATTTGTAAGAATATTTGTGGAAGATCTTCCAAACTCCAACATATACATAGTCAGTTTCTCCATCACGGCATGCTGGGAAGGAATACATTCATGTGAGATGTACACAATTCTTGATAACACCAGACTTCCTAAGTCTCTATCTCAGCCATACTGTAACTGGAAAGGAGAATATGTAGACTCAGGTGAGTGAAGGATAATAGTATATACCACATCTTAAATTCTCCATTTTTGGCCTACAGAAACCGGCCTCTGTACCCTTTTTGCACATCAGCATGTATGATATTACCAGCAAGAATTTTAAATTTTTTGTCTTGATTGAAAACTTTATTAAGGGAAATTACACAAAGAAATGATATGGATGGAAAACTATCATAATCTTAACAATGGTGTTCTTGATCTTTCTCTAAAGTGTGGGACTATGATGATTATGCCAATATTTTCCAGGATATACATATGTAGTGATAGTTACCTGTGCTTAGTTGTCAATTTCTCTGTTTCCTATAGCTTTTGATGTGACATCCTGGTTATCAGCTAAAGGATACCCTGACACCTCCCCATTGACTGGTGTTCCATTACAGGATCTAATGGAACATCTTAAGCTTAACAGACTCAAGGGAGAAGGCTGTGATAACTCTTCAACTCTTTACATGCCACAGAAAATCACTGGATGGAACTATAGTATTTAATTTTGATACCCTTTTTATCTTTTTTTTCACTTTATATTTCTTATCTGTTGCAAGTCTTTTGAAAAGATCAGCTTTTTTATTCTTTTTGAAAAAAATATATCCAGATTCTAACTCTGTAAAATCCAGGCATGATAATTTATCTCTAAGGAAGTATAGTAAAAACTGTTTTGATTTTCAAGCCCATAAATCTCTCATAGCTTGTGCCAGTCCCCTTGATTTGGTACCCCTGCCCAGTACATTGACCTGTCACCTGCCTAGCACCTGTACAGGACTGGACTGTTGTGTGTCCAGCACTAAGTTAGGACAGAGCTTCAGGACTTACCTAGATATTGATCCCTGTACATCCAAGATCACTGTGGGTATTGACAACTGGAGATTTACAGAACTGTCAAAGGAATCCATCAAGATGCTGGACACTGGTATGTTTTAAATAGACTCAATTTTAAAAGAATATCAGTGTGTATTAAGAAGAGGATTCATTTGCCTATTTTCATTTTGTTTCTAATCAGAATTCCACAGAAATGTTTGGATGAATGGAGTTGTAAGAATGGAGTAAGTAAATGCTTACTTTTACTTTTAGTGAAAAACTGTATTCTGGCTATACCATAGACCCAAAAACGTTTTTGTCAACATATTTTTGCAAATTCATGTAAAATCGTTAAATATTGATTTTTTTTATGTTACTTTTCTCAGTTTTGCAAATCCACAATAGATGTTACAAATAATGATTATATTTAAAAACAAAAACAAAAACAAGCACTTGTAACACATGCATTTCTTTTTGTCTGACCTTAATATGCACCAGTAGTGCTGTATTCTTACCATACATTTCTGTTTTGTTTTTAAGCATTCGTTTGAAGAACTTGTGGTTCTCGAACAATTTCTTGGTCACTTTGAACATGAGTATTTGCCTTGACAATCGAAGTCCATGTGAAATAGCTAACCAGACAGTCTTCAAAAATGCCTTGCTTCCAAAGCAAAAATGTAGTTGGATCCAAAATTTACCAAGTGGTAAGATCTTCTAGGTATTGTTATTGAGATTTGAAATTTATTCCTTATTTTGGGGGGACCAATTTTTAGTGCTGTGTACTGATTGAGGAACATATACACATATATTCATGTTTAATTTTTACTTGAAGCATGCTAAAAATCTTTCGTTTTGCAGGATTTTCACTGTCATCTTGGAAGATGAACAACTCCCTTGGTCCTCATGAATCACTCTCAGACATCATGAAGAATAAGCTTGACGAGTATTTAGAAATGCCAGGCTACAGAAAACAAACTAAGTGCAACAGGAGAAGTTCACAGTTCTGGCCAACTTTCAATGGATGGAAAGATGGTATACTTTATACAGATTAAAGACAGACAGAACTAAATTTTATTGTAACTTGACACGAAAAAACATGATATATTTTATGAGTGATGCAATTAATCAGTTGATCTAAGTTGAGCATTGCTTAAATTTACAGACTGTAGGTTATCAGGCCTCCCTTACAACCTGGAGAAGAAGACGTCCTGTCAGCTTCACTCTAGCTGTACCTCCATCACCTGCTGTACAGAAGACACAGAACTACAGACCACAGTCTCCTGGTTCTTACACATTGACTCCTGTCGTCTAAAACTGAGTGTCGGCATAGAGGAGTGGAAGGCTGACTTCTCTCTCATTGACTTCAACTTCGGTTTGTACCAATAAAATAACTTTTCCAGAGTTTAAAATTTTATATTCAAAATGGTTTTCTTTGTAAGTTTATGTACAAGCACATGTTGATGAATTAATGTGTTCTGAATTCTTTAACTTTTTAAGGTGAGAACAAGATATTTCAACTAGGTGGAGTATACAGATTGAGGTGTGTAGTACTATTTTTAATTACTTGGAAAATATTTTATAAGTCATAGATTCAAATAATTGATTTTTTTTTTTATTTATTTATTTTTATGCGCCCGGATCGATAGATCCCGGGCGTATATTGTTTTTGTCCTGTCTTTGTCTGTTTGTCTTTCTGTCTGTTGTCAACTTTAACCTTCGCCATAACTTTTGAACAATAAGAGATAGAGACTTCATATTTGGTATGCATACTCCACTAATAGAGTCCTTTCAAATGACATCAAGGTCAATGACCTTGTGACCTTGACTGTGATCTATATGCTAAAAATAGCTTTTTCCACTGTTTGTCATAACTTTTGAACCATAGGAGATAGGGACTTCATATTTGGTATGCATACTCCACCGATTAAGTTCTTTCAAATGACACCATGGTCAATGACCTTGTGACCTTGACTGTGATCAATATGCTAAAAATATATTTTTTGAACTTTGTTGCCGCCGGGCTCATAGTGTTTCACAAACACATCTTGTTTTTTTTTGGTATATAAATTTTATTTCCTAGACCTATGCTATAACATAAGAATTCCCTACTCAAATATTTATGGCAGTTGCCAGGGATGGGGCCCTGACTAAACTCCATCTGAATACAATTACAAAAATTAATTCTATATCACATATCACATATCATTCAAATAATTTAAGTTTTGATTATGATAGTCTTGAAGTTCTTGTTATATAATTTCTTGTGTCCATATTTTGCACCGGCATCAAATACAGACTAAGAAATTAAGTGTTTGATTCAGATCTGTTCACCCATCTGTAGAATCATCAAAGCCACAGAAAATACTAAATAAAAACTTCTCCAGCTTTTTTGTGTAAACTGTAACTGGGGTTTTTATTCAGTATTAATGAAATATTACCCGACAGAAAATGTGCATATCTAGAAGTTTCCTGGAATATTTCCGAAATGGGTAGAACTTGATAATTTTTTCCATTTTTTCTGAACAGAAGGACTAGCTAAGTCACACTGTCGACATTAATGCAGAAGAGAAAAGGGCTCACAAATTCTCACGAATTGGTTTTTTTAGTATTCTGTATGTTTTTCAGCTACACACTGTATGACCTGCCTTTCGACTCTCACTACATATTGAGTGTGAATATCAGTGTATGCTACAAACCAAATCACTGTATGCTGACAGAGAGTATACTTAAAGACATGATGCTGCCCAAACCAAGATGTGACTTCAGAACTGCTAGCTATGATATACCAGGTAACACTTATTGTAAAAGTACATTTTTTAGCCATTCTTCAGAAAAGAGGGGGGGGGGGTTCTCCCAGCTAGGCATTTGTTGTTGATGTCAAACCAACAGACAGCAACATGTGTAGTAAGGGAAGGAAAAATGAAACTTTTAAGGTTACCTGCAAAGGATATGATCAGAGTGACAAAATGTACCTGAGGAGGATTTATTCTCAAGTATCTAATATAAGTTACCTCACTGGGGATGCACTTTATGGCAGTTATGATCCAGATGCTATATTTTCCAGGTTTTAAAAAGAACACAGTAATAAAAAAAAATTGAATATTATTAAACATCCATTTTGGTATAATATTTCCTCTTAAGATTTATAGCATTTGTATATAATCTTTGTTTAATGTCATTGAGTAGAATTTTAATTCATTTTCTGGATACTTGAAAGTAGATCAATATTTAAATTCTCTGTTTTAAATTATTCATTGTAATATGAATTAATTTATGAAATAATGTATTTTAAGGAAGAGATGTTAGGCCCAGTTTAATACTACATTTCTTGTGATGAAAGTGATGTGCCATGTTTTTGCTTATTTATCCTGATTGAATAGGATTTTCTTTGACATCATGGATATTGGAAAGAAGATTTACAGAATCCTCATTACCACAACATGGTCTTACTGAACTATATGAAGATCTTGGATTGGCTATGTTTTTAAAGGAAAACTCTTGTAGTGAAAGTACAAACTTTAGCTCTTTGGCAGATGGATGGATAAATGGTAAAATGTTTCTACCTTGAAATCTTTTATAAATTTAATTTCATTAAAAACTTGTATTATTATTCTCAGAAACCATATAGTTACATTTTCTTTAACTCACTTACTGTAACACCTTTACAAAAATTCTCAAAACAATTTTTGTGAAAGGCTAGAACTCTTCCCAGTGCCATACATAACTTATTTTATTGGTGACTGTATACATGTACATAATAATCATGATTCTATGAAGTTTTTTTATAGATATATTTTCATTTTACAACTTTTAGACTGTCCACACACCATTACAACTGAAGATCTACCACCAGATCTAGCTTGCTACATTCCTAGTACCTGTACTGCAGTGTATTGCTGTGTGAATGCCAGTACTCCATTCCAGACATCATTCTCTGCCTTCCTAGATTTTGATCCATGTGACAATAAATTTGTTATTGGAATAGAAAATTTCGTTCACACCTTTTCAATTTATGATGTTTCATTTGGTAAGTATTTTTTGTCAGGAACATGTATCAATGTCCCCTTTAAAAATATATAGTAAAAAGTATTTTATTTTGCCTTATAGAGTTATTTACCTAATAATAAATTTCAATTGATCATTTGAATCTTTGCCATCATAGACAGTGCCATTTGAATGAGATCACAGGATTTTAAAAAGTTTTGTCAAAGTCATAGCAATTTAATGCAGTAGCTTGTCATTGACTCAGAAGTTGCCTTATGAACAGAGGATGTGTAGATGATCTTGTAGTAAAAGCATTTGGAGAATTTAAAAGCGACATAATATGGCATTATAAATATTTTGTAATATTTCAGAGTTATTTTGCAGATTTTTTAAAATCATTTATTTTCAAATATATATATTTTTATGTGGACCAAGAGGAAGTTTTCATCTCATTAGGAGAATTTATTCTATTTTTCAGGCCAGGAGAATTTCTACTATCTAAAGAATATTATCAAAATGAGGTAAGTTAAATATCAGTGGTATAATATGAAATATTTGGGGATGTTATTTAAATATAAACAAGTTTGAATAGATACTTGTAGGTCTCCTGAGTCAAATCAGGTACATGTATTGCTATCCATTTTTAGCTCACCTGAGCCGAAGGCTCAAGTGAGCTTTTCTGATCACATTTTGTCCGTCGTCCGTCCGTCTTTAAACTTTTCACATTTTCGACTTCTTCTCAAGAACCACTAGGCCAATTTTGACCAAACTTGGTACAAAGCATCCTTGGGTGAAGGGGAATTTAAATTGTTAAAATGAAGGGCCAAGTCCCCTCTCAAGGGGAGATAATCAAGAAAAGACAAAAATAGGGTGGGGTCATTAAAAAATCTTCTTCTCAAGAACCACTGGGCCAGAAGAGCTGAAACTTATGTGGAAGCATCCTTGGGTAGTGTAGATTCTAAATTTTTCAAATCATGACCCCCAGGGGTAGGGTGGGGCCACAATGGGGAATCCAAGTTTTACATAGAAATATATAGGAAAAATCTTTGAAAATCTTCTTCTCAAGAACCACTGGGCCAGAAAAGCTGAAACTTATGTGGAACCATCCTTGGGTAGTGTAGATTCTAAATTGTACAAATCATGACCCCCGGGGGTAGGGCGGGGCCACAATTGGGAATCAAAGTTTTACATAGAAATATATAGGAAAAATCTTTGAAAATCTTCTTCTCAAGAACCACTGGGCCAGAAGAGCTGAAACTTATGTGGAAGCATCCTTGTGTAGTGTAGATTCTAAATTGTTCAAATCATGACCCCCAGGGGTAGGGCGGGGCCACAATGGGGAATCCAAGTTGTACATAGAAATATATAGGAAAAATCTTTGAAAATCTTCTTCTCAAGAACCACTGGGCCAGAAAAGCTGAAACTTATGTGGAACCATCCTTGGGTAGTGTAGATTCTAAATTGTTCAAATCATGACCCCCAGGGGTAGGACGGGGCCACAATGGGGAATCCAAGTTTTACATAGAAATATATAGGAAAAATCTTTGAAAATCTTCTTCTCAAGAACCACTGGGCCAGAAAAGCTGAAACTTGTGTGGAAGCATCCTTGGGTAGTGTAGATTCTAAATTGTTCAAATGATGACCCCGGGATAGGGTGGGGCCACAATGGGGAATCCAAGTTTTACATAGAAATATATAGGAAAAATCTTTGAAAATCTTCTTCTCAAGAACCACTGGGCCAGAAAAGCTGAAACTTGTGTGGAAGTATCCTTGGGTAGTGTAGATTCTAAATTAAGTCATGACCCCTGGGGGTAGGGCGGGGCCACAATGGGGAATCAAATTTTTACATAGAAATATATAGGAAAAATCTTTGAAAATCTTCTTCTCAAGAACCACTGGGCCAGAAAAGCTGAAAGTTATGTGCACATGGAAGCATCCTGTGGTAGTGTAGATTTCAAAATGTCTAAATTATGATCAGTTGGGTAGGGTGAGGTCGCAATATGTATTAAAAGGGGGAAATCTGGTAAAGAACAGAATGGTCAAAGTTTCTCAGGTGAGCGATGTGGCCCATGGGCCTCTTGTTATCCTTCCTATATACTTTTTAAGTTCATCTGAGCCAAATTGTCAACTGAACTTTTTCAGATTTGGAGTGTGATTAACTTTTATTTGTCTGTTGAATCATGATGTAAATGGTTAGTTTGTATATTACTTTTCACAGTTTCCATAAAAAAATGGGCCAATGTTAACTAGACTTGTCTCAAAGCATCTTGGTTGAATGGATTCAAATGTTTTTCCTGTACATGGTTTTAATTTTCACCAAGTACCTGGTTACAAATTTTCCCCTGTTTTTCCCAGTGCACTTAAGGTGTATGGAGGCTTTTCAAGAAATCTGCTTATTCCCCCCCCTACTTTTTGATTGAATTAAAAATGTGATTTCATAGAATTGTGATCCAGAGGAAATAGTGTTATAAAATTGGAAGGGGGTCTTCTGAAGTGCTGTCAAGCTAAGAATGACATCTTGTGTAATTAAAAGCATCCTTATTTAATAAAGATTCAAGTTTAATGCTCTGTTCAAAGGGTATGTTATGTACTGTGTAACAAAATGTATATAGAATTTGACATTCCATGCATATGAAAACTCATGTATTTCTCTGTGTTTTAAAAATTGAGGCTAAAAATTAAAACTACACATGTATTAAACTTGATTTTACAAGATGTAATGAAATGTGAATGTGTTGAAAAATGATAAAGCCTCAAAGTCTAGTTAACCATTAAGAAAGCAAAGATTTCAATTTGGCAAATTAGGTGATGCTTGCAGTAGATGTCTGTCTATAGTATGTAAAGGCAGGTCTAGTGATATCTTATTAATAATGGCTATATCAAATATTTACAGACATTAAGACTTCAGATGTCATTTTCCATGATTTATCTAACATTATTTTGACAGAGACTAACATCATCATGATCATTGTAACATTATGAATAGTTATAAAAATTCTTTTGCAGATATAGAGTTTATGACTTGAAAGCAGAAAGAAAATACCAGATCACTCTACAGATAAGCTTTTGTTTGGAATCCAGTGGTGCCTGTAGGTTTGAGAGTACAGTGTTCCAAAATGCCTTACTGCATAAAAAAGTTTGTCGGCTGTACTCTGGATTTGCTATTACTAGTAAGTTCAATGTTGAGTTCAACTCCTTGTGTCTTCAGCATGCATGGCAGACACATTAGGAATTATCCCACCACTGAATACTTCTTGTTGATAACCTTTAACAAGGGATCTCCTTTCTCATGGATAAAGCAGATATACTTTCGTTTTAGTGATCCCTGATGAAAATCTGAAAATTGGTTTTAGCAGAGAAAATATGGCATGATTTATTGTTTTGAAATGTTTTTAAACACTTAACCAAAAAAAACTCTGAAATTTTAATACAGTCAATTTATGAATTTTATCATGAAAGGCAGAAAAAGCTAAATAATCTGAATAGAGTGATATGCTAACTAGAAAAAGAGGATCTCTCAAAATTTTGTACAACCTATTTATTGTGCTCTAAGCGTAAAATATCAATTCTAAGAAGACAACATTTGCATTGATTTCTCTTTCTTTTCAGACTTTTCATTGAACCAGTGGAAATCTGACAAGCACATTATCACACTATCTGAACGGGACAGCTATTTGCTTCAAGAAGACCTGTTAATTTCTCAGTACCTGAAGAAAGACTCTTGTTCCAGAGAGTCTGAGAATTATGTTCCTCATACCAATTACTGGAAAGATGGTAACACATTTTCAAATATTTTTTTTTTGAAATTGCCTTATCTGGGGAAAAATATAGCAAGATTATTCCTTGTCTGTAAGTCTTATTGGAGAGGAACAAAAATTGTCAAATCTTGCTTCCCATGCACTGAGACTGGAGGGGATGGACCCCAACCTTCAAACATCATAAATATAGGAATCTACTAGACAAATTATACACATTAGCCCCTTCATGGTAACTGTGGTACTGCTCTTTTTCAGGGAAAAATAATAATGTTTGGCAAAGTTTATTTATGCCCCGCCATGAATATGGCCGGGGCTCTGTCCTTCCGTCACACTTTGCGTTTAGCTCTGTTCAAAGATCCAAGATATTTTCATCAAACTTCATATGCTGATAGATATTGATGAGAGCTTTGCAACTGCATCAACATTTTTTGACCTTTCCTTTGACCTTGACCTCACTTTTCTTAAATTAGTGTTTAGCTCAGTTTTAAACATACCATTCAAGATGGTGTTATCAAACTTCACATGTTGATGCAAACTTGCATGGATGATGCATCTCGGGATGAACACTACCAGACTTGCTTCAGATGCTGGATCTGACCTACATTTTCCAGATGAGTGACCAGGTTAAAGTTTTTGGAGCAGGTCCATTCCTAAGGAACTAAAAGCCCTACTTGGACCAAACTTACATGGATGATGCATCTAGGGATGGACACTACCAGACTTGCTTCGGATGCTGGATCTGACCCACAATTTCATTCCCAAGTAACTATAAGCCCTACCTCAACCAAACTTGCATGGATGATGCATCTAGGGATGGACACTACCAGACTTGCTTCGGATGCTGGATCTGACCTACATTTTCATTCCCTAGTAACTATAAGCCCTGCCTGAACCAAACTTGAATGGATGATGCATCTAGGGATGGACACTTCCAGACTTGCTTCGGATGCTGGATATGACCTATATTTTCATTCCCAAGTAACTATAAGCCCTGCCTGAACCAAACTTGCATGGATGATGCATCTAGGGATGGGCACTACCAGACTTGCTTCGGACGCTGGATCTGACCTATATATTTTCATTTCCAAGTAACTATAAGCCCTGCCTGAACCAAACTGATCAAATTTTATACACATACAAATTTTCATGTAGCTTTACTAATATATCCTCGGCGGGGCATTCATGTCCTATGGACATATTTCTAGTTTGACAGATAATTAAATGATGTATCTTTAACAATTACCTTTACGTCATATTTCACCAAACTATATCATTTTGCCCTGAGAAGAGCAGTACCGCAGTTACCGTGAAACGGTCTATTGAACTATTGACTATCTGCTGCTCCCAATTGAAATAAATGATTATTACAAGATTGTGTTTTTATAATGTTATCTTATATTTTATGAGAACAATTCACTTAAATTTAAGGTGATTGACCATGCATCTTGTTTACATTTACAGAGTGCGGAAAGGTTCATGGAATCACCCAGTTCCCAGCCTCGGACAAGATTAACTGTTTCCTGGCTTCTAACTGTACAACAGTCACATGTTGTATGTTTGACAGTGTGCTGTCCAGAAATGTAGATTTCACACTGAAAATTAATTCCTGTAGATTCAACATGAGAATAGAGATAGAAAAACTTCATTTTGACATCAGCTTGTTGGCCATCAAATGGGGTAAGTGGGAAAATGTTAAAGCAAAATAAACAAAGCTCTTCTTTTAAGGTGATACTGTATAAAGGGAAAGTTTTGCCCCCATTTTATTTTTGCCCCTTTCACCCTTGTCACAAGTGGATGAATTTAAAACTGGGAAAATTCAAAGAACACAGTAAAATTTTTTAAACAGAACTGGACTAGGTGAATTTAAAACGGGGCAAATTTGTAAGTAAGTGTAAAAGGGTGAAAGTAAGACGGGGCAAAAATAACCCTGTATACGGAGTTGCATACAAAGAGGTATATATTTGACATCCCTTCATTCATTTGTCTGAAAGATAGCCCACTTTTACAAAAAAGTGTAATTGAAGGAAGTCCCTTTAACATGTAAAAATTTTGGTTTAACTTAAATTAAGCAAATGAAAGAAAAAAATATTTTCTATAAAGAACAGCATATCAGAAAACAGAACACATTTTGTAGTGTTGCTTCAAGTTTGTACAAATCTTGACTTCAAGTTTCGCGCATGAAGCAGTGCTTAGCACGTCTGCTTTAGAGTGACATCCAGAAGTAAGGAGTTGATCCTTACGTCTTGGGTTCACATCCCACTGTAGAACATGGAGATCGGTCCTTCCGATGAGATTGTATAAACTGAGTACCGTGTCACAGTAGGTGCTGGCAGGAAAAAGATCTGTCACTGCTTAATGGCCCTGAGTACAGAGTATAGTTCAAAATTTGTAGCTCTCCACTGGCAAGTGGTGGTGTCTACATATGAGTGAAAAATATTTGAGAGGGACGTTAAACAACATACAACCAATCTGAAGACTAGAGTAGGTTCACAGTGCTGTCTCAAAGTTTTGCATTAGAATAAATTGGACAAGTCAAAAATTTTCAGACAGGACAACTCATATGAGTGTTGTGGCCCATCAGCCTTGGTTACATTGCAACACTTAAATATAAGTGGGGTTCAAAGCCTTGAAATCTCAAGTCCCAGAATTCACTTATTATTTTAAATAATTGCAGACAAATATAGAGTAAAATTTAATGTATCATATTTATATATTTTAGGAGAAGAGATGAGGGTGGACATGTATGGGGTTTATTTAATAAGGTAATAAATTACAATTTCCTTTGAATGAAGTGTTTTAAAAAAATAATTATATAACGTTAATAGCTTTGATTTAATATATATATGATAAATTTTTAGCTCACCTCGATGAAGTCGAGATGAGCTTATGCTATACCCCCGGAGCTGGCATCTGCGTCCCAGGTTAAAGTTTTAAGAGCAAGTCCATTCCCAAGGAACTATAAGCCCTACCTGAACCAAACTTGCATCATGCATCTATGGATGGACACTACCAGACTTGCTTCGGATGCTGGATCTGACCTACATTTTCCAGATGAGTGACCATGTTAAAGTTTTTGGAGCAGTTCCATTCCCAAGGAACTATAAGCACTACCCGGACCGAACTTGCATGGATGATGCATATAGGGATGGACACTACCAGACTTGCTTCGGATGCTGGATCTGACCTAATTTTCATTCCCAAGTAACTATAAGCCCCCCCGGACCAAACTTGCATGGATGATGCATCTAGGGATGGACACTACCAGACTTGCTTTGGATGCTAGATCTGACCTATATTTTCCCAAACAAGAGTATTATAAATATTTGTTTACACTATACATGTTTTTCACACTAAAGGCTTAGAAATGTGTATATGCCATGTAAGAGGTTAAACAGAACTTGCAAGAATATTGTTGCTGGGATAAATACCAACTATTTAGAAAATATGATGTGAGATTTGCATTACTTACATTGATAACATTTGTCGAGGTGAGCTTCGTAATCTTTGATTACCTATCTTTTGACATTGCAGTATGGTAATTCAGAATCTCTATAATGAACACAAGTATCTTCTAAGTATGAACATTAGTCAGTGCTATGAGCCAGACAACTGTGATGTTCATCATGTACTGTTCAAAAACTCATTGATACCAAAAGCTGTCTGTGACTGGTCGAGGGATTTTCAGATTAAAGGTTTGTCAACAAATTTATGTTGAAAAATCTTTTATTTTTCTTTTCTGATCAATGGAATGATCTTAATATATATTAAATGCTTTTGAAGGGTTTTCACTATATGTTTGGAAGTTGGAAAAAGGCGTGAACATGAGCATAAATGAAATAGAAGATCCTTACATACCACAGCTTATGGAAGAACTTGGTATTGCATCATACTCCAGAAAGCCAATGTGTACCATTACACCTGACAATTCATCAGGAAGAATCCAAGGATGGAAGACAGGTTAGATAAAGAAAATTTAATTAATTTTAAAATTTGCGGTGCTATTTAAATCAAGTACTAGGTGCACTTAATTTCCTTAGAACCATTTATGTTATACATCGTTTGATAGGTTGTATTATGATATAGACTTTTCCATCTGCCTGTCTCAGTCTGCTTATATCTTGACATTTTCATGTCTGAGAATATATGGCACACTCTGACTTCTAGGACCATGAAAATTGTTTTGTTGCATTTTCGGGAAGGTGTGCCACAACTCCAAAGAAGATAACCTTTATCTAGTAAATTGTATATCATAAAAATTCCATGACACCTTATTTTTGCAAGAAACTATTTGGTATTTATAAGCAATAGTAATATGTGATTTACGTTACTTACAAAGAACAGTCACAACTAGTGACTGTGAAAATGATATACAACTTGTACAACAATGTTAAAATTTGTCTGAATGTTAAAAGAGCACAATCATATGGAAATGTATCTTTAAAATAGGCTGTGCCATGAATGTCAGCTTACCCACTCTGGACCCTAGTGTAAATTGTGACCTGCTGCTCACTTGTACTGGAGTGAGATGTTGTGTGCATGCTTCACTTCTGAAGAGGAACTATGAAATCTCCTTCAACATTGACCACTGTACCAGTAGCCTCAGCATACAGATAGAACAAGTCTTCCACAACCAAACTCTTGATGGATTTCTTTGGGGTAGGTTAAATGTCTGTGGATTCAGAGTAAAAAATCCAAAATGTAAAATGCATTAATGTTTACTTTTCTTGCATATTTCAAAAACAATAATTTTCATTAACTATTTCATTAGTATTATAACGAATTCTTTGTTATACTGTTTCCTATATTAGGTAATGCATATGAATTCAAGCTTCTAGGAGTTTACAGAATCAGGTAAGTAATACCGCAGGCTTTCATTACCGTACAAAACTAATTTAACCAAATTTATCAAATATGCATTGTCTAAATGTACTAAATATAAATTAAAATATTCAGGTATATTGTGTATGACCTGCCAGAGGAAGATGTCTACCTACTTTCCCTGGATGTGATGGACTGTTACGAGTCTATTAATCCTCAGTGCAGTACAACGGCAACATTTACTGTGTTCAACAAGGTCGCAATTCCTAAAGCTCAGTGTTCCTGGGATCGAAGTTACAGAATTCAGAGTAAGAAGAGCATGTTTCCTAGATAAAAAACAAAATATATGAAGGTAAGCTTCACCTGTCTGATCAAAGACATTAATATTTTCCATATATCTTTTTCAGACTTTTCTCTCCAATCATGGCTATTTGAGAATAAACTAGAAAATGCTACAGACCTGATTGACAATGAATACAAACTTGCTAAACTCCTGGATGAGCTTGCATTGTCACAGTACCTTGAAACGATATGTCGGTTAACAAGCCCGACTTCAAGTTTTGGATGGACCTCTTGTAAGTCAATACATTTTCCTGAAATTTTCCTTCCTTCATTTTTAGCTCTACTGGTCAGAGACCAGAAGAGCTTATGCGATAGTAATGCGTCCGGCGTCCGTCCGTCTGTCTGTAAACAATTTTTCAAAATGCTACTCCTCCTACAGTTTTGGTCTAATTTCAATATAACTTGGCACACAAGTAGACTACACTAAGATACATAATTCTGTGTATCGGTTTTTGATTTCGATGAACGGTGTTGCCGTGGTTACTAAAAATAGAAATTTCTGTGAAATTCTTTCAAAATGCTACTCCTCCTACAGTTTTGGTCTGATTTCAGTATAACTTGGCACACAAGTAGACTACACTAAGATACATAATTCTGTGTATCGGTTTTTGATTTCGATGAACGGTGTTGCCGTGGTTACTAAAAATAGAAATTTCTGTAAAATTGTTTCAAAATGCTACTCCTCCTACAGTTTTGGTCTGATTTCATTATAACTTGGCACACAAGTAGACTACACTAAGATACATAATTCTGTGTATCGGTTTTTGATTTCGATGAATGGTGTTGCCGTGGTTACTAAAAATAGAAATTTCTGTGAAATTCTTTCAAAATGCTACTCCTCCTACAGTTTTGGTCTGATTTCAGTATAACTTGGCACACAAGTAGACTACACTAAGATACATAATTCTGTGTATCGGTTTTTGATTTCGATGAACGGTGTTGCCGTGGTTACTAAAAATAGAAATTTCTGTGAAATTCTTTCAAAATGCTACTCCTCCTACAGTTTTGGTCTGATTTCAGTATAACTTGGCACACAAGTAGACTACACTAAGATACATAATTCTGTGTATCGGTTTTTGATTTCGATGAACGGTGTTGCCGTGGTTACTAAAAATAGAAATGTCTGTGAAATTGTTTCAAAATGCTACTCCTCCTACAGTTTTGGTCTGATTTCAATATAACTTGGCACACAAGTAGACTACACTAAGATACATAATTCTGTTTATCGGTTTTTGATTTCGATGAATGGTGTTGCCATGGTTACTAAAAATAGAAATTTCTTTAAAATTGTTTCAAAATGCTACTCCTCTTACAGTTTTGGTCTGATTTCAATATAACTTGGCACACAAGTAGACTACACTAAGATACATAACTTTGTGCATCGGTTTTTGATTTCGATGAACGGTGTTGCCGTGGTTACTAAAAATAGAAATTTCTGTGAAATTCTTTCAAAATGCTACTCCTCGTACAGTTTTGGTCTGATTTCAGTATAACTTGGCACACAAGTAGACTACACTAAGATACATAATTCTGTATATCGGTTTTTGATTTCGATGAATGGTGTTGCCGTGGTTACTAAAAATAGAAATTTCTGTGAAATTCTTTCAAAATGCTACTCCTCCTACAATTTTGGTCTGATTTCAGTATAACTTGGCACACAAGTAGACTACACTAAGATACATAATTCCGTGTATCGGTTTTTGATTTCGATGAACGGTGTTGCCCAGGTTACTATAAATAGAAATTTCTGTGAAATTCTTTCAAAATGCTCTCCTCCTACAGTTTTGATCTGATTTCAGTATAAGTTGGCAAACAAGTAGAATACACTAAGATACATAATTCTGTGTAACGGTTTTTGATTTCGATGAACGGTGTTGCTGTGGTTACTAAAAATAGAAATTTCTGTGAAATTCTTTCAAAATGCTACTCCTCCTACAGTTTTGGTCTGATTTCAGTATAACTTGGCACACAAGTAGACTACACTAAGATACATAATTCTGTATATTGGTTTTTGATTTCGATGAACGATGTTGCCGTGGTTACTAAAAATAGAAATTTCTGTAAAATTGTTTCAAAATGCTACTCCTCCTACAGTTTTGGTCTGATTTCAGCATAACTTGGCACATAAGTAGAATACACTAAGATACATAATTCTGTATATCGGTTTTTTATATGATGAATGATGTTGTCGTGGTTACTAAAAATAGAAATATCTGTAAAATTGTTTCAAAATGCTACTCCTCCTATAGTTTTGGTCTGATTTCAATATAACTTGGCACACAAGTAGACTACACTAAGATACATAATTCTGTGTATCGAATTGTAATTTTGATGAACGGTGTTGCCGTGGTTACTAAAAATAGAAATGTCTGTAAAATTGTTTCAAAATGCTACTCCTCCTACAGTTTTGGTCTGATTTCAGTATAACTTGGCACACAAGTAGACTACACTAAGAACATAAAGAGACTTTATCAACGATCATTATTCTATTTAATGCTGTTTATAAAGTTTCAAATCCCAGCTGCTTAAGTTCTTTCTCTTCCTTTGCTATAAGTTCAAACCAGTAGAGCTTCAGTCTCGACAGAGACTTCTGGTTACCAATTTATGCCAGTAAAGAGAAAATTTTTTTTTTTTTGTTTGGACAGAAATAGCATAACAGTTTAAAGCATTGTCTCTTTTGTAACCTGTGCCACGTTACCTGTCATTTCTGTAATATACTGAGTATATTGCATGTGTACGTAATTTGGCACATTCAAAATTAAGCACCATTATTGGGTATGGAGTTAATTACATAATCATGAATTAGTGTATTTTTTATTCATGAATTCATCAATGTCCATGCCAAGCCGATAAAATATGAAGCCCACTTTTTAAAGTACTTATGCAGTACTTGAATTTCAAAATAAAGTGAGTGATTGTTGACTTTATTTTTAGCATGTACCAAATCTGTATCCAGACCCAGCATTCCTGAAGGTCTTTGTCATTTGTTGGAGGATTGTACTTCTGTAGAGTGCTGTTTTAATGTGGACTTTTTACGTCACAACTTCAGAGTTTTCCTAACCATTGATCCATGTAATGCAAACCTGCATATTGGAGTAGAGAAACTGAAGAGGGAAATTTCACTTGTTGATTATCCATTTGGTAAATAATTATCTTAAGTTTCAAAGTTTTCATTTACATGTATTTCATTATTATGCAATGAGATGGAAGATTGAGAGGGATATTTCTCGCATAATCACCAATGTTAGATTGACCTGTCATGTGTGAGACAGCAGTGTGAGATTTTTCTGTCTTACACTGTGTATTACTATGCCACAAACGATAATGTAAACATTTCTTCTTTGGAACAGTGTTTAAAAATATCACATAAACTTAAAATTTTGTTATTTAACTTAATAAAATTCACTTATTTTCATTCAGAATATTGTCGTATTTTCACTTTTTAAGTGGGATTATGTTTAGATCGCGGAAGGAGTCTTCTAAAATGAATTTGTACGTTATCGGTTAGATATGTTTTTATTTCCATTTTTAATCATATAAATTTATATGGACTGAAATTTATTTTCTTAGTTTACACTATGTGTAAACCATTTTCAGGTACGCTTTTTCTGATGGTGTATTCAGAAATTTAATTAGATGGAAACTGGAAAGTTAAAAAGATATATTTTTAGCCTAATAGCAACGTCATTGACAGGCGGTTATTTTGGATAAAATAATGCGAGAAAAATAATCACTCATTACATACTGGTGTGGGATAGTGAAATTTAACCTCGTGGCCCAGATTCACAGTTTACGGCTTGGCAAAACCTCCTCCTACACTGTGAATCTTGTCCCCTAGCTCACTGGAATTTCACTATCCCACACTGGTAGTAATGAATGCATGATTCTATTAATATGTGTAAAAATGTCATCCTACATCTTTCACAAACTTGAACATAATATTTTTGAATCAAAGAAGCTAAAGACTATTATGACGAGTTATAGAAATATATGAGAGTTTTGATATATTTTCATAATAATAACTCTCTTACTTTTTATGAAGAAAAAAATATTTACATTGAAAATATAATTGGATGAGTATAGGTATATCATATCCTGAGGCATCCAGGACATTCTATAGGTATTGATCACACTGAGTTTGATTTGTGGCAGTGTTAAATGACAAAAAATAAAGAAATTATTAGTATTAATGAGTTTTTAATGATAATTTCTAACAATAAAAACTAAGGTGTATCTTCTTTTTTTCAGGGAAACTTGAGCATCTTTGGCTAGGAGGGGTTGTCAGATTAGAGTGAGTACATTTCAGCCATAGGATGCATTCCATAACTAGATGCTGTCATGAGACAGTAATACCCGCACTAAGGTGTTTGCCTCTAAATGCACACTTCTTCATATTGGGCTTTACCAAGGAAAAAGTCAATATAATTCAATAATTTACATAATACATGTATTCATCAAATTGAGCATAATATGCTCAGGTGACCATGTAGCGGCAGATCTGCAGCGTTATGGTTTTATATATTTGTCTTTGACCATAACGCTACAGATCCCCATATGCAAAAAAGGTGCAATTTATGGCGCAATATTTTTTGCGCACTTTTGGGCAGTTTTTCTCCACTTTCTAGCATTGGTCAATCAACTACCTTTTACTCCCTAATTCTAGACACATTCTGTAGCCAATATATATATTTTGTCCACCCCCAGCCATTTATAGTCATCTCTACAGGCAATAAACTCGCTTGATGTGAATTTTCAGCAATCTAACAAATAATTTTAATCAAGCGAGTTTATCACGTGTAGAGACGACTATAAAAGGATTGGAGATGGATAAAATATACAGATTAGTTAAACAATGTGCCTAGAATTAGGGAGTGAAAGGCAGTAAATTAACCGATGCTGGAAAGTGGAGAAATTCTCCCCAGAAGTGCGCAAAAATATTGCGCCGTAAATTGCACCTTTTTTGCATTACAGGATCTGTAGCTTTATGGTCAAAGACTAATATATAAAACCATAACGCTACAGATTTGCAGCTAGTGACCATGTGACCCATGGGACTCCATCTTATTGGTATTTCATATTCATAATTGATTACCAGTCGGAAATAAAACAACAGAATTAAATTAATAATGTAAATTAGGTTTGATAAAGGGGGGGGGTGTATAAATTTTTGGCACATACTGTATAAGTGGAAATTTTAGCGAAACGCAAATTTAGCGATTTCTACCTAAAATCTGGTATTTTATTTTTAGCGAGAAGTAATTTTAGCGATTTTAAAATGCTAATTCAAGAAGCTTTTACAAATAATAAGCAATTAATTTTCAGCGGTATTCAATTTTAGCGATGTCAGCACCCTCGCTAATAATGCCAAAATTAAATCCTCGCTAAAAATTCTACTTGTACGTAATTGGAACTTTTTAAATCTATTTTCTAATATAGATTAACAAAAAATAATATTATTCAAATTAGTGTAAAGCATTTTTGATGAATTTTTTCAAAATGTGCAAAGTTTATTTATATTTGATTAGGCAGAAACTTCTTGAAAGCTGCCATATACACAATCAATTTAGTCAACCCGCACCCCTCTCCCATCAACACACACACACACAAACACACCTTATTTGCCTGTTTTTGGAAATAGGCCTAGATGGCAAAGTTAAAATAAAACATCTTTTGTAAATGATAATTTTCAATTTGTTCTTGCACTATACATGTATCTGAACACCTGCATCACATTGGGCTTGCGTCACGTACCCAACTTAAGTACTAGTTTTACCATTGGCATTATCATTTTAGATTTCACTGCACGTGCAGTAGGCTACTAATGTGCATCATTGCATATATGTCAGTAGGAATTATTTCATTTTGTGTTTTAACTGGATTATATTTCATGAAGATGACAAGGCCTAAATAATGACAATCGGTAAGTACAAGCTTTGGTATAGATTTGGGTAAAATAGTCTGAAATGCAAACGGTTAGGTTCAAGTTTAAAGGATCAAAAGTCATCCGATGCTACAATAGACAAATTTCACATTCTGAAGAGTTATCCCCCGTTATCAACGTTACATTCAGTTACAAGATCCGGAATTTTTTTTTCTGGGAGGGAGGTGGGGGGAGGGTTGGTTCCAGACCAGAATTTCCTGAGAAGCAAAAAAAAAAAAAAAGAAGTTATGGTTGGGTCTGTTTTCTAGGGTGGAGGGACACTGGCATCCAAAGTCATTTTTATTGACAAATGATCATGTGACTCCTAAATAGTAGGAAACTTTTTTCATTTGACTATACATAATTTTGTTACTTGTGTTATTATGTTATGTAAATTTAATGGTATAAAGGTTATGAACCCCTAGAGGTCATCCCCACTCTCCTAATGAGCTGGAAATGTTCACAATTTGAATATGACTGCATTAGATTAAATAAAAGTGCATCAATGATAAGATTACTTGACATTTTATTCATGAATTTGTGTCAACCTATGTTCCTAAAATTAGGAATGAAAATCATTCAGAGATGGACCACATTAAACTATTTGTAGAAACATTTTTTTAAAATGTAAAAACAAGTAGTAGTTTGCATACATGAACAAACAGGAGTCTGGGAAGGGGTGAGGGGAAGGATCGAGTTAATATTTCTTTACGTCTTAATGGTTGAAAACTCCAAAAATGAATATTGACCTCAAATCTAATTTGTTCTCATTATTTTTCAAGTGGTGGTGTCTCCATATGAGTGAAAAATTCCTGAGAGAGATGTTTAACAACAAACAAAATGACATGAAAACACAATATTGATTTGCGTTAAGAAATATGCAGGGGATTTTTTCCATCATAAATCTTCTTCTCAAGAACAGCAAGGGCATTATTGTCCCCCATTTTGGGGAAAGGGAGGGGACATTAAATCTCATTTGTCTGTCAGTCTGTCCATCTTATTGACAGCTAGTATGTGCATCTGTCACAATAAATTTAACCTTGGTCATAACTTTTGAATAATAAGAGGTAGTGCTTTCATATTTCACATGTACATTACCACAAAACTTTCTAAATATACTATGATTTTTTAACCCAAGTAAGACCTTGACCTTTAAGTTTTACCTACTTTCCAAAACATAACATTTTAAATTGATCATTTTGAAAGAGAAAAGAAAGAGCATTCAAATTATACATGTTTATTACACATGTGAAAAGACTTTTCTAAATATATCATGACTTTTGACTCTGTGACCTTGACCTAGAAGTTTAACCTACTTTTCAAAAATATTATATTGTATATATAACTTTTGAATCAAAAGAGATAGGACTTTCATATTTGACATGTACATTACCTGCAACAAAATGTTTGAGAGCATGCTATGATTTTTCCCCTTTGACCCAATTTTCAAAAATTGATATATGATAGGGGTGCACATTTGACACACAATCTGCCATAAATTATGGCATCCCATTCACTAAAACACAGAAAGCAGAGGACCACAATTCTTTGAATTTGCTTGTATAATCTTGATAGATGGAAACATCCTCATATAATGTAGATTCAAGTTTTTTATGCCACACCATGATTAGGAATACATGTATAGTTTTGTCATGTCCGTCCTCCACCCTTCCATCTGTCTTCACATGATGATACATACTGATGTAAGCTTTACAATGCTTCACTCTTTTTTACCTTGACCTTTCCTGTGACCTTGACCTCACTTTTCTAAAATTAATGTCTAGATCAGTTTTGAATAAACAATTCAAGATATATTTATCAAACTCCATATGCTGATACATACTGCTGAGAGGTATTAATACATCAACTTATTTTGACCTTGAATTTTCCTTTGACCTTGACCTCACTTTTTAAAATATGTGTTTATCTAAGTTTTAAATAAACCATTAATTATATAGTTTTATCAAACTTCATATGCTAATAGTAAATTCATACTGATGTAAGCTTGTCAACTGCAACAACATTTTGGCCCCAACCTTTCCTTTGACCTCTCTTTTTTTAGAAAAACTGTTAAGCTCAGTTTCATTAAATAATTCAAGATATTTTTATCAAACATAATATGCTGATATGTATCAGTGAAGCTACTAAACTGCATCAAAAACTTCACCTTGCACATTCCTGTGACCTTGACCTCTATCCTTTTTTATATGTATTTTGCTTAGTTTTAAAGAAATCATTTAAGACATTTTTAAAACATCATTTTTCGACCCCCATTAGTCCCCTTGGGGCAAAATCAACATTCCAAAACCTTACTGCACATCTACATGACACTACCAACCATCTCCCAAAAGATGATTAGGCTACTGTGTAAAATGTAAGAGGAGTTCAGGGAAGACGGGGCTTTTTGCATAAAAAACGTCATTTTTCGACCCCCATTTGACCCCCCCGGGGAAAAATCAAATTTCCGAAACTTTACTGCACATCTACATGACACCACCAACCATCTCCCAAAAGATGATTAGGCTACTGTGTAAAATGTAAGAGGAGTTCAGGGAAGACGGGGCTTTTTGCATAAAAAACGTTCTTTTTCGACCCCCATTTGACCCCTCGGGGCAAAATCAAAATTCCTAAACCTTACTGCACATCTACATGACACCCCCAACCATCTCCCAAAAGATGATTAGGCTACTGTGTAAATTGTAAGAGGAGTTCAGGGAAGACGGGGCTTTTTGCATAAAAAACGTCATTTTTCGACCCCCATTTGACCCCCCGGGGCAAAATCAAAATTCCGAAACCTTACTGCACATCTACATGACACCCCCAACCATTTCCCAAAAGATGATTAGGCTACTGTGTAAAGTGTAAGAAGAGTTCAGGGAAGACGGGGCTTTTTGCATAAAAAACGTCATTTTTCGACCCCCATTTGACCCCCCGGGGCAAAATCAAAATTCCGAAACCTTACTGCACATCTACATGACACCACCAACCATCTCCCAAAAGATGATTAGGCTACTGTGTAAAATGTAAGAGGAGTTCAGGGAAGAAAAGTGTGACAGACGGACGAACGGACGGACATGAGTAACAACAATATACCCGAACTTTCTTTAGAAAGTGCGGGTATAACAACAATTCAAATGCACTATATGTTTGTATTTGACTGGATGTTGTGATTTGAGCATGCCATGAAATACTATAAACACTTTAAGTTTGACCTATTCTTATCCAATTAAATTTTCATTATAAATATTTTTTCTGTATAAAAAGATATTGGAGTTCAAGATAACAAAGTTGAATTGTAAGTGACAGTTGTTGATTTTATGTAAATTGTTTGTGATCTTGAGTGGTACATGTACCTGTTTATAGGTGTTAGTGAATGAAAGAAAAGATAATGAAAGGAAAGTTGCATGTATTTGTTTAATGATGATGCTGAGTATTAAGTATTTTGAGTAAAACTTTACTCTTTTCAGTTTTATGTTGGAGGACCTATATGGAGAGCGTCTATACCTTGTGAACATGAATGTTAGCTTCTGCTTTGAATCAGCTGGGGAATGCTACAAAAGCATTGCAGTGTTTAAAGAAACCCTTCTACCCAAACAGATCTGTCCATGGAATCAGACTTCAGGTACACGTACTAGAACAAACCTTTTTTTAACTACAATAGGGAGTTTAATTTACCAATGCCTAAATTTTAATTTTCTTTCTTTTGTTTTAGACAAAGTACTACAGTGAAAACTGTCTAATCCGACACCTGAATAATCCGACACACTGTGAATTCTGACGTTAATTTTCTTTACCAATTTAGTATTTTCCTTGTTTTTAACACTGTGCTATCCGACACTCTGTCTATTCCAACACAAAATTTGTCTCCCTGAGCATGTCGGATTAGACAGGTTTCACTGTAATACATCCTGCCCAGTTTAGTGTCTATTCTGTCTATGTTATGTATAACAATATTTGACTTAGCACAGGCCCAATTTTAATCTAAGTGTGGCATGAAATATTTTGGGTAGAGTGTCAATTGAAAATGTTCCAGTGAAGGACCATGCCTCTTACACAGAAACATTATTACAAAATGTATGAAATTACGGTGATTTCATTATTTCAAACAAAATTATGGTGATTTCATTATTTCAAATGAAATTATGGTGATTTCATTATTTCAGTAGGCCTGAAATGAAAAAATATGTTTTATAAATTTTCACATGAATGTAGGTTCAATTATGTTTATAAATATCATGTCGATCCTTTTTGCAGGAGTAAGTATGGGGCCTCGGTAGACCTTTTTGAATATAGAACAAACCTAGACAAGATTCTGCTTGGATGAGTATTTGGCATAACAAAAATTGCAACACTCTAAAGATAAATTCTAAGAACATTTATATTTTCTCAAGGTTTCTCACTGAGTGCATGGAGGAGACAGCACAGTGTGCCATTTGGAATTCCTCTGAATACCTGGACAAAAGCTCTACTGCTTGAGCATTTAGACATTGCACAATACAGAGAGTCCAATGAATGCATAAGGGGAAAAGGATATTATACTTGCACAAACTATGGCGGTGTAGGCACAGGATTTAATCTAAATGCTTCAAGAATTCCTCAATGTAAGTTCATGCAGAAAACAGAGTTTTATATTTAAAATTCCTGTTGCAAATTGCAATTTCTGTATGTGAAGACAAAAATTAAAACAAATTTTGTTATGTAGATTATATACTATGTATTCATTTAATGGAAATCTTTTATTTATCATAAATAATTCTGGTGTATTTTTGACTTTTCTAGTGTGTCAGTTGGCTGTAGATCTAGAAAACAATCCAATGACAATAGATTCAGCCAGACGAGTCACCTGTTATGTACCCAGCCTGTGTACTGCTGTAGACTGTTGTGTAGATGTCCCTTCACTGGACATGTCATTCCATACCTACATCTCCATTGATCCTTGTCAGTACATGCTCAAGATTGGAATAGAAAAGTACAGCTTTCAAAGGTCACTTGATCAGCTGAGATTTGGTACGTTGGAAACAAATTGCAGAACTGCATGATGCAGGTTTTAATTACAAGTTTCTTTTATAATAATTGATATTCCTTTCTGTATTTAAGGATATTTTCTTTAACATAGAATATCATGTGATCATTGTAGGTCAAGAGGAAGTATTTACTTTGAGTGGAATTGTAAAGATGGTGTAAGTCATTCAATTTTATTGAAATTCAATCTTAACCCTCATTTTATCGTTACACAGTGACAAGTGTGTAGAATGATAATTGTGCTGAACTACTTGAACACTAATTTTAGTGAATTGTATGGGTTTCATTCCAATTCATTCCTGCATTATGAGTGTTTGTCATTGTTACTGAAATTACATTTGAATTCATTGTTCCAAACAGCTACAAAATAGAGGACTTGCCAGCAGAGAAGTTGTATGTGATGTCAGTGAAGCTGAGTGTTTGTACAGAGACCTCAGGATGTGAAGCCAATCATACAATATTTAACAACATGCTGCTCCCTAAACAACCATGTCAATGGAATGAAGGATTTATCAACTTGAGTAATCTTGCTTAGTACTAATCAGTTATGAAAAGTACTTGGTTTTATGAATATCACAATATCCATGAAAATATACACTGCAACATCATGATAATGTCTGTTATTTCATTACTGTATGATTCTTTGAGAACTATGCCATATAAATCTACAATGTAACAAGAAATTGTTTTGTCAGATTTAGGGCTGCCACGGTTCAGACATTTTTCGGTTCGGTTCGGTTCAGAAAATAAATTCTCGGTTTTCGGTTTTTTCGGTTCGGTTTTCATTTTGAGAATTTAAATAAAACATCTTAATATATATCAAAGGGTAATAAGGATTAAGGACATTGTAGAAAGTAATATTTTGCTGACACAAATTTCTATCCATTTTATTCAACAGAACAAGTTGTTAAATGTAACAAAAAATAACAAAGTAATAAATATAGTTATTGACTAGAGTTATCTTGTTTCAAACAATTGAAACATTAATCATTGGTCATGTCAATAATTTACTTAAAAGAAATACTGAAGTATTCCCACACTTGTGATTTGGTTTTCCTTCCACATGTGTATGCCATGTTTAAATGTCTTCGATGTTACCTGTATTTTCATTGGTTAAAGAACCCTTCATTGAAATAAACAACCAATCACAACGCATGTTGCAAGCAAATTAGTATTAAAAGATAAAAAAAACCGAACCGAATTCCGGAAAACCTGACTCGAACCGAACCGATTGCCATTTCGGAGCGGTTAACCGAGTTTTCGGTTAACCGTGACAGCCCTAGTCAGATTTCTTACCATGGATTAAAAAGGAATGTTTTGTGTAAGCATTTACATGTGTGTTTATATTCTTCTTATTACAGATTTCTCTGGCTCTGCCTGGATGACTAACAATGGCTACACCACTCCCCTCTCTGAGTCCCAGTCTGCTGAACTTATGAAGGAGGTGAGGGCTGCTAGGTATTTACTACCTGACTCGTGTAACCTGGAATCATCAGTTAATGGATGGAATAACTGTAAGTGCATTATGCAAGTGATGTTTTAAGATAAGACCTTTTCAAACTGTTTAAATATGTGATTTGCAATGATGTTGAAAGTGGCACATCAGGAAACAAATTATGGTGTTTTCTTCTTTGGATTCTTTACAGTGTTGTATTATAATCAGGTGACCATTATGACCCTTTGGTCTCTTTTTTTTGGTTATTTTGTAATTTTTATAGACTGTCCTAAAGAAATGTCGTTAACCAATTTGACTGGGAGTTCAATAAGTTGTCACATTCCCTACCTCTGTAATGAGATACAGTGTTGTGTGAGGGCTGAGAACATCAGAAGGAGTTTCCAGGTTGTAGTCAGTCTTGATCCCTGCTCCCAGATCATGCTCATCAAACTAGAGAGGCTGACCATCAAAGTTGACCTATTGGAATTCAAGTTTGGTTTGTATTTTGATGATTATCTTCATTGTTGAAGAAGGGGAAACATAAGTTTGATATAACAAAGAAACTAGACATACATGTACCTGGCTATTCTCAAACTATATTCTACTGTGTAACAGACATTACAAATGAGAATGTTTCTAAGATACCATGCCAATTTTTTTTTCCAGGGACAAAACATCACTACAATTTAGTTGGCCTGCTCAGAGCCGAGTAAGTGTATGATACAGGCAATTTACAGTGTATTATATATTTCATATCAAGTGAATTGTAAGTAATGAAAAGAGTTGCATTTGAATTTTATTTCATTTTAGTTTGAAACTGTATGATTTGCAATACCAGAGGAAGTATATGATAGATCTTGAAATAAGAGTGTGTTTTGAAAGTAATGGAACCTGTGATTTCATTTCAACTGCACTGAACAATACCCTACTGCCAAAAACTAAATGTGACTGGTCATCTGGACTTGAAGGTGATATCTGATGTTACAGTAATATCTATCTGATCGTATAAACAATATAAATGACATGAACTTATATTCCTGTCTTTCGTAGATTTAATTCTGAAATATATTATTCATACAGGATTTTCACTGGAAAGCTGGCTTCTTACAAAGGGTGAAAGCATTGGAAGTGTCTCATTACCTGAACATGTACAGTACATGCTGCTGGAGGAGAGAGGTATAGCTAACATGATGAAGGATACACCCTGTAGTAGAACAGGTGACACCATGTATAACTCATCCACTCCAGTCAATGGATGGCGCACAGGTAAAATAAGAAAGCAAGCTGCATATGTTATGACTTGTCAAAAAAATTCTTTTTTCATTTTTGCATCTAAATTTAATATTTTTCAGACTGTACTTCATCAACATCAAACCTCACAGAGTTACCTTCAGAAATCACTTGTTATTATCATGGTTCCTGTACTGCAGTCAGCTGTTGTATGGACATAGTGAAGTTTGACAACAGATCTATAGAAGTGTCCATCATCTTTGATGAATGTGCCAACTTCCTGACCCTGACTATAGAAAGGATATCTCAGACAGTTTATTTGCATGAGTTTTCCTATGGTATGAATTGTCATAACAAAAAATGAAAGAAATAAAAGCTTTTTGAGGTAGTAAGATTTTAAAATGCTTAAATATCATCCTCGCACCCCAAATCGAACATTGAGTCCTTGTATGCCTTAATGGATACATGATTTTTGAAAGTTTACATACGATGGCCGATATCAGCCTGTCTAAAATAAAATAACACAACCTTTAATTTTGTCTTTTGTACATGTAGATTTCTTGAAATTTGTACAAGACAAAAAAGTTATCATGCCTATAATTTTGTCTTTTGTACATGTACATTTCTTGAAATTTGTACAGGTACAAAATATAAAAAGTTCTTTCGCGAAAAGACAAAATGTACAATTCTTAAACGTCGACCAAAACATCTATAGTGATTAGCGGTACATAAATAAGATTTTGTCACTACAATTGCATTTACAATTCTTTTTATTTGAAATTTTAATTAGCATACAGTGTACCTTGACTTGACGTTTGATAACCTGAATGCAATAAATAAATGATAACGGTTCCTTCGTAAAGGACACGTGGGAAATATCAATTAGAGTATGTTTCTAAACTTTTATATATTGTTTTTAATAACACAATACTTTATTCTGAGGATTGTATTGCGATTCTTTTATTTCTTAGAATATGACGGTATTTTAATAAATTTGTTCACCCCAGTTTCATTAGTAATTTTATGCTAGCGAATATCGCAGACAGAATTGGGTCATTGACTTAGAACCCATCGCATAATCAATTATTTGTTTGTAATATTTGCATGGAATTCAGATTTATTACTTTCTGGGATATATGTGCGTACAGTCCATCTCCACTTGCTTGTATCAAAACACATTCTTCGTCTTCATCTCTCAATCGCTGTTTAAATGTCCACGTCTTCCGGTCCACGTTGTTTATTACATGATTTATTTTTTGAGGTGTATCAGAAGTGCAATAATCAAATGAAAGCTAATTATAATTTTAAATAACAGAATCGTTATTTTAATTGTAGTGAAAAAATCTTTTATACATACCGCAATAGATTTTTATGTCAACTTTTTAAGAATTGTACATGTACATTTTGTTTTTGCACTGAAGAACTGAAGTAATGTACATGTACAAAAGACAAAATTAAAGGTTGTGTGATTTTATTTAAGACAGCCTGATATCTGCCATCATACCAACCACTTCTTTTTTTCTCCTTTTTTTACCCTAAGTATAAGGAACCCATGGAATTTTAAGTTTTTCTCTGGTCCAAGTGTGTGTTAGGTAATAAAGTTTGGCTTTTTGACACCTCATGTATATTATTATTACTGGAGTATAAAAATCTTAGCATCTAACTTTTTTAGGCACAGAACAGAAAATGACATTAAAAGGCATCTTTGAACTCAAGTGAGCAAAGTTTTATTATATTTTGACAAATATGAAAATAATTGAGAATATGTACTGCAAGAAGTACTAAGCAAGCATAAATGTTATATTGTACATGAAAAGGGAGATATTGAAATGTACCTTATCTACATAATGTGAATTAATAGCTTTTTATGCGCCCGGATCGATAGATCCCGGGCGTATATTGTTTTTGTCCTGTCTGTTTGTCTGTTGTCAACTTTAACCTTGGCCATAACTTTTGAACAATAAAAGATAGAGACTTCATATTTGGTATGCATACTCCACTAATAGAGTCCTTTCAAATGACATCAAGGTCAATGATCTTGTGACCTTGACTGTGACCTATATGCTAAAAATAGCTTTTTACACTTTTTGCCATAACTTTTGAACCATAGTAGATAGGGACTTCATATTTGGTATGCATACTCCACCGATAAAGTCCTTTCAAACGACGGCAAGGTCAATGATCTTGTGACCTTGACTGTGACCTATATGCTAAAAATAGCTTTTTACACTTTTTGCCATAACTTTTGAACCATAGGAGATAGGGACTTCATATTTGGTATGCATACTCCACCGATAAAGTCCTTTCAAACGACGGCAAGGTCAATGATCTTGTGACCTTGACTGTGACCTATATGCTAAAAATAGCTCTTTACACTTTTTGCTTTAACTTTTGAACCATAGGAGATAGGGACTTCATATTTAGTATGCATACTCCACTGATTAAGTTCTTTCGAATGACACTATGATCAATGACCTTGTGACCTTGACTGTGATCAATATGCTAAAAATAGATTTTTTGAACTTTGTTGCCGCCGGGCGCGTAGTGTTTCACAAACACATCTTGTTTTTTAAAATTGTTGTTGTTGCTTTCTTAAATATTTATTACCACCGTGACATTAATTTTTGTTTAGATACACAATAACACAGAATGTGTTATTCCAGAAGTATGAGTTTATGGTTGACATATTTGCATGCTATGAACCATTATATTGTGACCAAGTCATAACCATTCTTAACCAGACATCATTTGACATGAAAAATTGCACGTATCAGGAGGGATTTCTGAATTCCAGTATGTCTATAGAAGCAATTTTAAAATTATAATAGAGGTTTTTATTTGAATAATATGGAAAGAGAAAATTATCTTTTTTTGGTAAAAAGAGAAATATTTAGTTGTTAGATAAAATATTTTTAATCAAATGATGCAATATCATATGCAATAAATATATATAAGATATGCAAAATAGATGTCTTATATAAATGCCAAGTAGAAAATACATGTATGTGACTGTTTATAATAATTAACCCATACACAATATGTTATGCATAACAGGGTCTAAATCTTCAGTTACAATAAATAAGTCAATCATGTTGTTGTTTACAGGCTTTTCCCTCAGTGCTTGGCTGGCCTCTCGTGCTATACCCCATGTAGAGGACATGACTGTACCCCAGGCCAGTGATCTCCTGACAGAACTAGGACTGGACCACTTCCTGGATTCTACAGACAGGTGCTCTCTATCTGACACAGTGTATGGAGCAGCAGCAGAAAATGGATGGAATAATGGTAGAAACTTTCTAATACATTCAATATTTCTGTTTGTATTACTGTTAATTCCTATATATACTGAAGAATTAATATTTGCGTAATTTCGCAAGGAAGCTAGACCACTCGCAAAATAAAATTACTCGCCTTTATTTTTATGGTGCTAAATTCCATGCAAAATCAACAGTCTACTCTCAAATTAATGTTCTCGCAATTTGACATTTAAGAGCCATTTCGCAATGATAAGTACTTGCAAAAAATAAGGAATCTACAGTACTCTGTAATATTTGGATGTACTATGCTGAAATAGTTGTGGTGAACGTTAGTAGTCTAGCATTTACATGTGGTGCACAAGCCAGAGGGGTATATGCACGTTGTGTCAAACCTTGCTACTATTTCCACACAGTACATGAAGATAATAACAATCATAATAGAAATTTTAATTTATATATTAAATAGTTGAATATAAAGAGATTTTACTTTGTTTCTTAAATATATAATGCCTTCCTTTTAAAAATGTGTTTTGTGCATATGGGGATATTTTTTTTATAGAAGTGTAAGTTGCATGTATTTTCTTTAACATTTTTGTTTAATTTTTAATAAAACAGAATGTGAAAAGTTTCCAAACTACACATTACCAACTATCCCAAATAAAAATGAAGTCCTATGTCATATCCTTTCAACATGTGATAGAGTGTCTTGCTGCGTCTACATAGCCCCTGTTCAAAGACACGTGGAGATGAAGTTGATACTGAACACATGCAGCTATCAACTGGAGGCAATGCTTGATAATGTCAAAATCACTCGTAATATGTTCAAATACACTTGGGGTAAGTATTTTTATTTACACCTAAATCACTAGTATTTTTTAATTTGCATTATGTTTAAATGTTTATTATTTTTTAATTTGCAGATACCATGGAAAAGATTGGAATTCATGGGGTTGTAAGTTTTGAGTAAGTCAATTGGACATCAACTCTCAATATTTCTCAGCTTCCACCATGACCTTCCAACTGTACTGCACAACATGTTTATAGTTTTTATACCATATATGAATCTGGTTTTTTCACAGGTTTCATGTTACAAATGTGGTGAGTGAGAGAAAAATGAGAATTGATGGGAATATCAAATTGTGTTTTGAACAAAACAACTGTACTGAAGTACTGATCTTCCATGACCTGCCCATCAGTCATAGTGTCTGTAATGTTAGCAGTGGTGAGACAGCAATTGAAGGTTGGTATATAAAACTGTATTAGTAATGGTGCAGCATTTACAATACAATACCAAAATTATTAGAACATGATCTCTATCTCTTTTAGAGGAAATATTGGATACAAGTTAATCAAATGATGTCTCATTTTAGGTATCAGCTTTGACTTTTGGAGACAAACAGAATGTGAAGCTAATCTCTTTGATCCAGCAGGTATTATTTGTGTATGCCTATGGGCAAAAAATATTAATATTGGCACACAGATTTAGCTTGATTCCCATAATGTGACTGAATTAAGTGTAGCCAATTTATGAAGAATTAATGTGCAATCATCTACAACCCTTTTATTTGCAGCATGTAATGAAACACAGATAGAGGGTATTCCGTTAGCGATGCAGAAATACTGCAAATATCTATCTGACTGCAGTGGATTAGAATGCTGCTTTGAGAATGAATTTAGTCTTGGTAACAGAAGTCTCTATTTTATGGTAAGGCTGGACTGTGACCACTTGGTATTCCAAATAGAGAACAAAAAAGTGCAGAAATCATTGAAAGCCCTTTCTAATGGTAAGATATGATAAAGAGAGTGGTGCATTTTTTCTTATGATTGAATCAAAATGCAAACAAGAAGAGACTAACAAATTCGTAAAATTCATGAATTTCAGATGTGGAATACAGAGAACCTATTGGAAATCCAACTGCATTTCAATTTAACTACACGGTACTAAATCATAGTACAAATTACCGGTATGGTGTTGGAGTTGTTTTATTAGTAAGAGAATCCAAACCAACATCTGCAGGAATTATCATTTATAATGTCATGCTTTCAAACACTACCCGAGTAATGCCACAGGGATGTGGTACTAGCAGAAGAAGAAGGAAGAGGCGATCTGTTGATATTTCACAGTAAGTGAGGCTGCTCACAATCAACAAATTTTTTATCCAATGTTTGCATCTACAGACATTGTAAAATTCAAAATCACATATTACATTAAAAATAAAATGAATTAGAAGTACATCGATCTATGCAAAGAAAGAAGATTTTAAAAAATATCAATAATTTTGATATTAATGTGAAACATCTTTAAGATTGATAAGTTATGACTTAAGTAGATGGATCATTCATCCATAGTACTACTTAATTAAGTTACTGTTTTAAAAATTCTTCAATATTTTTTCTGATAGATTAGACACAGAAAAATTAACAGATGGAATTAGGGCTCTCCTTGAAAGTGATGCACCTAACAACAAGTTTGAGGAATTTTGGCAAAGAATAATTGAGAAAAATGTGAGTATTTTTGGTATAGCATCACTTAAATATAAGAAGTTTTCAGGAAAAAGTCAGCTAATTTAACATTTTCAAAATATTACAAGTTTAGAAGCTTAAGAGATAAAAAAAAATTTGTTCATATTGGATACTTTATATTTATTATGGTGATGAAAGTAGATAACAGCTTCCCCTTTACTAAAATAACTACACATGTACTTTAACACGTATAATTTTTTTGGGGGGGTGGATTTTTTTTTTATTTGAAAAGAACACTTTATTTAGATGATATCTCAAAAAGCCTTTGTGATTTTGCAATGGAATTTTATATCAATATGGCATGAATAAGTCTTATTTCTTTTTTGGGTCATTGGAGAGCAAATGAAAGTAAATCACAATTCTTTTTATAGAAACTTGAAAAGGCACAGAATTTGGCTGCTACACTTCTTTCCAGTGATGACGTAACAACAGGTATAAAGTCTCAGATTCAGGCTCTAGGGTCTGGTAACCCATTCACCATCAAAACAACAGAAGACAATGCTCCATCTGTTACTGTGCAGGGAGGTAATTATAAACATGAAAATTAGAGTACTGTACAGAATTATATATAAAACGGCCTCGTTTGAAGTTTTTAGCGTCTGGTTTTATGGTTTTGTTTAACATAAATATTTTCCTTGTAACATCAAGTATAGACATAGAAATAATTATTTATATTTTGTACAAATTTTAGCATATATTTTACTTTTCATACATGTGTAAAAAAAAAAAAAAAAAAAAAAAAAAAAAAAAAAGTGATTAAAAAAGAGGTCACTTTTTTAAAACTGTTTAAGATTGAACTTAAGAAAAAAACAGTTAGAGAAGAAATTTTAAAAGTTCTTCAATTTTTGCTTTAAAAGGTGCTGCCATTGCTGATGTTTTGGTGACTCTCAACTCAATACCTGGTAGAAGTCACCAGTCATATATTGTTGGCAGTGGAGTAACACAGTATGGAGCTAAATTACTCGGGAACAAACTGGCTTGCATGACTATAGGAGACTTGGAGTCTCTATTAAGTCTGAAAAACATAGATCCTGTAAAGGTTGCATTGCTTCTAAAAGACATGCAGGATTTGTCAAAAGCTTTGGTAAGATTATGTAAAGTTTTCTATGAAAAATGTTTTGTTTTAATAAGAAGCCTTAAATATTTGGGCATGGAAAGGTCATTGAAATTGAAAATGTAAATTTTTCTTGGGATCATAAAAATTATAGTAAGTTATATATATTCATATCTATAAATATGATTTGAATAGATTTATGAACAATGTTAAGTAATTTTATATATGATATCAAGGTGTTTGTTTTAGCCATTGGACCTCTTGTTCTGAATTGTGGGTAATAATAATAGTGAAGTTTATACTTATTTTATATATTGCAGTACTCTGAGTTTATCAGCAAGTTGTTCACTGATGGAGCCAGAATATTTAAAAATTTTGAAGTGTATCTAAAGGAAGATTTCAGCTTCCCTAGACAACATGGATCTTTTTTCTCTTTTTCAAAGACATTTCTTGTTGGAGGATTTATTACCGTAAATTTTGGTGAGGGCATTATAATGATTTCTTTTATTCAGAAGTAACATTTTAAACAGTAGATAAAGTAAAAAATTTTAATTTCAATGAATCTTAATTATTTTATGTATATAGATATCTTACAGTAAAATAAAATGGGAGTAACTAAAGTTTTTGCAGACTGGAGTTTATTTGAATCATGATCTACCCTGCACATCCCTGGGCAAGGTGTGACCACTTTTCAATAGTGAACTGATTTTTGCTTTTCTCTCACCAAAGTGCCCAGGTCAGTGATGTGGCCCATGGGCCTCTTGTTTCCTGTCAAACCACCTGTCATTTAGTCTGTATATCTGTCATAAACTTTAATCTCTCTCATAACTTTTGAATTTTTGTGTGATCTATTGTTTATTTTACACTAATGGCCAATTTTGCATGATGCTAGATGAAATATTTGAAGTAATAATGATTTTGTTCTTTTTATAGGGTTTGGAGTGGACTACTATTTTGGTGTAAAGTTTTCAGTTGATGCAAAGCTCCTGGAAATGAAAGGAGCAGTGACGACTGAGCCTTATGGGGGGTTGATGGTCTGGGGAGAACTAGGGTTTGGGTTTTTACTGTATGCCAAACTACGGCTTGAAGGTCACATAATGGACACTGGATTTCCAATTATTGCAGAAGTTGATTTCCTTAAATTTCCAATTGATGTTACGTAAGTCATAACATCTTAACAAATAGTTACAAACTTTAGGAAAAGTAATTTATAATCGTCGAGATTTTCATATGATTTAGTATTATGGATACAAAGTTTTAAAAGGTATCGTTTTCAGTCTGTTATATTAGGAAGAGGGAGAAAAATAATATTTTTGCTTATAATCAATATTGAAAAGTATAAGCATAGAAAAATATTTGCTGTAAGAATTTGAAAGGAAATGTTTGCTTTTAACATAATGAAAATTGTCAGTATTGGAAAATGAAAAGGTATGTCATTTTTATTCAGCATACCAAGGAAGAGAATGAAAACATTTTTTTATACCCCCCGCAAACGAAGGAATCACCTTGTCCGTCTGTCTATCTCTCCATCTGTCTGTCCGTCTGTCTGTGCAAACGTGTCTGGTCTATATCTCTCTTACAGTAGGACATTAGAATCTACTACTCCACACAAAGATTGCCCATGACCTAAGGGTGTGTCATGACCTTGACCCAAGGTCATTTGGGGAACTTCAAGGTCAATGGAAGAACAATTTCATAATTTGTGTCCGGCCCATATCTTTCTTATGGATAAACTTGGTAGGTTCTCATTTCACACAAAGATTGCCCATGACTTAAGGGTCTGTCATGACCTTGACCAAAGGTCATTTGGGGAAGTTCAAGGTCACTGGAAGAAAAATTTCATAATTCGTGTCCAGTCGATATCTTTCTTTTGGATAAACTTGGTTAGTTCTCATTTCACACAAAGATTTTCCATGACCTGAGGGTGTGTCATGATCTTGACCCAAGGTCATTTGGGGAAGTTCAAGGTCACTGGAAGAAAAATTTCATAATTCTTGTCCTGTCCATATCTTTCTTATGGATAAACTTGGTAGGTTCTCATTTCACACAAAGATTGCCCATGACCTAAGAATGTGTCATGACCTTGATCCAAGGTTATTTGGGGAAGTTCAAGGTCACTGGAAGAAAAATTTCATAATTCTTGTCTGGTCCATATCTTTCTTATGGATAAACTTGGCAGGTTCTCATTTCACACAAAGATTGCCCATGACCTAAGGGTGTGTCATGACCTTGACCCAAGGTCATTTTGGGAACTACAAGGTCACTGGAAGAAAAATTTCATAATTCGTGTGTGATACATATCTTTATTGTGGAAAAACTTACTTCTGAAAAACCCAGCGGGGGGTATTTTGTCCCGTTTGGACAGTTTAAGTTATAATCTGGCGAATGCTGTAATAGAAAGTAAAAAGTGGGATGGGCAGTGTCACAGACTAGTATTCAACATATTTCGTCTGTGTTCAGCAAGGAGAATTTTCTTTCATTTCAGTCTTACCATGTATTTGAGACTTACCCCACTTAAACTACGACTGTATGCACTAGTTACTTTGGAAGTAGACTTGTGGGTTTATACATTAAGAATGACTTTATTCAAAGCTAAACTTTGGCAATATGAAACTCCATCAATCAGGCTGAAACTCATTGACAACAAAAAAGATGAGAAGGACAACACACCACCCAAACTTTTAAGTTTTGGAGTAAGTTAGATTCTGCTAACGATTTCCTTTAGTGAACATTTTTTAAAAAATATTGTACTTTAATATTAATCATAGAATTTAAGATTTTGCTGTGTATGAATTGTTTTGCTTTTCCTTAGGGAAAAACTCCCGCAGGATCCTGTGGAGTTGAACAGGTAGCAGGTAGAGATCACACAGCACCAGAGTTTACCATCAATGTTATGGCTGAGGATGACAGAAGTAATGTTAATCTACACTTAGACATAGGAACAGTACCAGGGGGCTCTAATGTTATGTCCAGGAAACAACTTGGAGGCTTTTCCACTGCATTGAATGATGTATGTTTACTTTCAAATGGGGAATTGGTACACAAAAATAACAAGAAACTCAAACTGGATTTGCAGTCTGTGGTGTGAATTCCTTAAACTTTAAAACATATTCAGTTACTTTTCTTAAATTGTTGAATTGTCAGCACAATTTTTGTCCCAAGTTTTATTTGAGAAACACATCTCCAAACTTTAGTTTTAATTTTCACTGTGATAGGGTGATTAAAAAGAAGAATTGAGATCTTTTTGAATGGAGAATGTGAAATAAAAAATTCTTCTTTGCATTTGAACTTCTTGAAAAAATAAAGCATTTGAGAGCAATTTTTCTAGAATCTGAATTAGAAAAACTTGTATAATATATAAAAGTTGCTTATCTGCAGGGAATATTACTAAAAATGATATTCAGTGAATGTCTGTGTCCTTAGGTCTTGTTTATGAATGCTTCAGCATTTCAAAAAAACGTTTTAATATTCAAATGTTTCTCTTTTTTTTAAAATGGATTTTATAGGTTTTAAGACCAGCTGGAGTTCCTTTATACTTCACTATCCATGTGTCCAATGAGGCAGGAGTGAGTGTCCCAGCCTCCTGTAAACTAAACACGTATGACATGACAATACCGGGAGGAAGGATGGCAGAGGCCTTTACCTCAACCAGTAATCCCAATGTTCTGAAGGCAGTAGTCACAGTGTATGAAGACTCGCCCCTCACAGAGACCAAAGTAGCTGTGGGGTATGGCAGGAGCATTTGGGGAGAACAAATCATCAGATGGACAACTGTTTCATTAGCTGACAATGCTGTTAATTATGATGTGGGTGAGTGAATTTTTTATGCATAAATTGAAATGGTAACATGGACAGACCATTTAGTACACCCCAAACACCACTGACATGTTTAAGAAATGCTCTAGCCCCTAATGGCAGCTCAAAACCAAGGTATTTTTTTTAAATGAGGGTCATACTGCAAGATCTCAAGTTCAGATAGAAAGATCTTGCCACAAGGATGACAAGTGAAATATAAATGCCCCAACACCAACCATTCTGAAAATATGGCCAAACTCAATGCTATTTTCAAAAGTAGGTCATACTCAAAGATTTAGGTCGAGAGATAAAAATATTGATACTAAAGAAGAGCCTTTTCACAAGGAAGACATAATTGAAAGATATGAAAGCCTAAATATCAACTGTTTAAAAGTACATGTAATAGGCAAGATGAAAGATTATTTTAATGTGTGTTGGTCAAACTCAAAGGCCAAGGCTCTGAGGTCAAAAATAAGGGTACCCCAAGAATGATCTTATCAAGACATGAGGAATACACATTGTAAAGAAGAAAGTTCTATAGTACGTTAACATTTGTTGCTAAGTCTTTTAGATTTTCAATAAGCATTTCTAGTGACAAGTTCTTTTCTTTTGATACCATTATTTTCTGACCTCTTGACACTGACCTTGAAGTTTGACCTTTTTTTATACCCCCCGCAAACGAAGTTAGATGTCTAGCTGTCTGTCCGTCCGTCTAGCTGTCTGTCTGTCTATCCATCTGTCTGTTCAAACGTGTCCGGTCCATATCTTTCTTATGGAGGAACATTAGAATCTACTACTCCACACAAAGATTGCTCATGACCTTGACCCAAGGACATTTGGGGAAGTTCAAGGTCACTGGAAGAAAAATTCATAATTTGTGTCCGGTCCACATCTTTTTTATGGATAAACTTGGTAGGTTCTCATTTCATGCAAAGATTGCCCATGACCCAAGGGTGTGTCATGACCTGACCCAAGGTCATATGGGGAACTTTAAGGTCACTGGAAGAAAAATTTCATAATTCGTGTCCAGTCCATATCTTTCTTATGGATAAACTTGGTTAGTTCTCATTTCACACAAAGATTTTCCATGACCTGAGGGTGTGTCATGACCTTGACCCAAGGTCATTTGGGGAAGTTCAAGGTCACTGGAAGAAAAATTTCATAATTCATTTGTGATACATATCTTTATTATGGAAAAACTTACATCTGAAAACTCCAGCGGGGGTATTTTGTCCCGTTTGGACAGTTCTAGTTTTTTTTACTATTAATCTTTGCCATATTTTCTGTTTAGCTGGAACTTTGGCTTTTTTATTTCATTTATGTATTTCTTGAGACAAGACCTATTTGAGTATCACCAGTTTTAAACTCTTGACCTTGGAGTTTGATCTACATAAGAAAAACTTGAACTTTGACCTTGAACTGCTATATAGAGGAAGCAATGTTTCACAAACACATCTTGGATTATTTATAGCAAAGCCTAAGGCATACGTAAGCTTGGTTATAATAGAGGGAGTTTTATTAGATTTATTTAAAAGGAAGCACAGAATCACAAAACTGACTGGACTTGAGCATCTCATGAAGTTGAGGTCATTGAAAGAAAACCTTTTCCTAGTTTCTATTAAGTAATTAAAGAAAAAGGGAATGGAGACATGGTAGTTATTAAAAGTAATGTTGCTTGAATTCCTTATTTTAGGACATGATCCTTTGAATCAGAAAGTGATTAAATTGTTTTCATCTGGAAAGACTGGGAGACTTGTAGGAAGGGGCATCAAAGCAGCAGAGGACTTCGAGATAACAACTAAAGAGGAATGTGCAAAAAAGTGTAATGCAATGCATGTCACAAAGTGCCTAAGTTTTAATTACGATTATGGATCATCTGGACATTGTGAACTTCTGGAAGCCATAGAAGGACATGACCACAAAATTTCACGAGTAAGTATTGCTAGAAGAAAGAAATATTGACAAGATCTTTTCCCTTGTCTTCCTTGCAGTTTTTTAGGGCTCCACTTCAAAATAGCCTGCCCTATGATCATTCATCTGTCAAACTACACAAACATAATTTTTGGTCTATAAGGTGAAAAATGAAAATAATTGCCATGTATATTTTTCATTTATTTGAGAATTTAACATAAGTCTAAGATTAGTCTACAGACTATATACCTACTATGTACAATGTAGATGAAGAATTACCTAACTGAGAAAAATCTTTACAAATTCAGATCATTTGGTTAGAAATATAACAATTTGTAATATTATACTTTCATTAGTAAATTAGTTGAATTTGATTGGTGGAGAAACATTTGTTAAAAACACTATTAACTGCTGAATAATGAAGCCATGCCCTCCAGCGTAGCAACAGTCAACATTGCTTGACGACGGGTTGTATTAAAAAAAATAGTGACTGTGCAGAATTTATGCGCGCACGTTTCACTGTTATATGAATTTGTATAAAACATTCAGTATAATATAATAAATATAGCATGTAGTTGAGTGTAACATTGAAAATTTTCACCCCTCGAAAACCATTGTCAACCTCAGCTGTGCCTCGGTTGACAACGGTTATATATTTATATATTTATATATTATTTTTCAACTTACAATCTCCATATTTACTACAAACTGTCTTTTTGAAGATTCAAACTAGTTAGGGCCCCGCTTGGTGGGCACCCTATAGTGATCAGTCTGTCCGTCCGTCCGTCCGACCAAGATCTCTTGTCCGGAGCATATTTTCATACTACACCCACAGAGTGTCTTTGGGTTACCGTTGTGCAGTGACCTTAAACCATGTTTCTAGGTCAAAGGTCAAGGTCATAGCAGAATTATATGAAAAATCCTTGTCCTGAGGATATCTTCTCTCTCCTAGGCCCAATCAGGCTCATACTTCACCCACAGAGTGCCTTTGGGTAACCAATGTACAGTGACTTTAAATCATGTTTCTAGGTCAAAGGTCAAGGTCATAGCAGAATTATATGAAAAATCCTTTTCCTGAGCATATCTTCTCTCTCCTAGGCCCAATCGGGCTCTTACTTCAGCAACAGAGTGCCTTTGGATAACCAGTGTGCAGTGACCTTGAACAATGTTTCTAGGTCAAAGGTCAAGGTCATAGCAGAATTTTATGAAAATCCTTGTCTGGAGCATATCTTCTCTCTCCTTGGCCGAATCTAATTCATACTTCAGCCACAGAGTGCCTTTGGGTAACCGGTGTGCATTGACCTTGAACCATGTTTCTAGGTCAAAGGTCAAGGTCAAAGCAGAATTATATGAAAAATCCTTGTCCTGAGCATATCTTCTCCCTCCTTGGCCTAATCTGGCTCATACTTCACCCACAGAGTGCCTTTGGGTAACCGGTGTGCATTGACCTTGAACCATGTTTCTTGGTCAAAGGTCAAGGTCAAAGCAGAATTATATGAAAAATCCTTGTCCTCAGCATATCTTCTCTCTCCTTGGCCTAATCTGGCTCATACTTCACTCACAGAGGGGCACTGGTCAATGAATGTGCAGTGACCTTGGTCAAAAATTCTAGGTCATGGTCAGAATTATCCTCTCTGTTTAATATCTTTGTTTGGTGCATAATTTTTTCCCCTTAATTTCAGTAAATTTATATTACTGATGGTACAAGATAACTTCTACATGTATATATATCTGTAAATTCGCAATATCCCTGAAGTTGTACTTAATTACTTTTACTGTATTACTGTATACACTGTATTACTACCTTACATATTCATGTTCATTGTTGAAAGCGGGACCTTTTGAGATGGCCACCATCTCAATCATATCTAGTTAAGATTATTGTTATTGTTATAAAATTTTAATAGGATGGTCATTACATGCACTTCGAGAAGCTTGGAGTAGGTTCCAACAGAGGATTTGTGTATGAAAATGTACAGTTACCACACAACCAAATCATCTACTTCAACTTTCATGCTGTGAACAGTCTTGGATTTGAGAACATACTGTCATCCAAACCCATTATAACAGATTATACACCTCCAGATCCAACTTCTTGTAAGTATTATTTTCAGTGGAAAGAATATGAAATGAAGTGTAAATATGATTGATTATCAAGTCACCTGAGTTGCTTAAAGTTCTTCATCCGTCATGCATTAACTTTGAATATCTCAAGTCCCATATTAGGGATCCTTGGATGAAGTTGATTCAACTTTTTAGCTAGCATAAGCCTTCAAAGAGGAGGGCCAGGACCATTGAGGAAATTTTACCCAACCATAGCAAAGAGTGTCATTGGATGGTGTTAATTCAAATCAAACAAAGTACCATAACCTCTTTTAAGTTGAAATGATAAAGGAATAGTGAAAATTGGATGGGGTCAGTGTAAAATCCCATCCTCAAGAACAACATCCAGAAAAGGTGACATTTTAGTGAAAGCTGTTTCTGAGGAAGGATAGATTCAGATTTGCTCAAACCATGACCCTGAATCATGTTTTAATCAATGGGATAAGTTAGGGCCACTTTGTTCGATCAAAGTTTAACATAGCAATTCATAGCAAATATCTTAAAAGTTCTTCTCAAAAACAGAAAATTCATGATTATATATATAGTCATTTTAATACTAAAGACCTAACCAGGTAGTGTAGATTCAGGTTCAAATCATGGGAAAAGGAAGGGAGAGTAGACAATATGGCAATGACCTTCCTTATGACTCTAAAACAGACCTGTTGTTGATTCTCAGGATCAAATTAACATATTGATGAATTTGGTTATTTATTTGCACACATCGTCGGAAACCCACGGTCGGTCTCGCTTCTCTTACCTCAAAGCGAGACCGACCGTGGGTTTCCGACGATGATTTGCACAATGTTTGTCCAGATTTATACAAATTTTTAATCTGTAATTTGTAATTGAATTCAATATTGGTAAATCCTGTTTTTAGGGCAAATAAACATCACAAGTGACAAATCTGAAACTATAAAGTGTGAGGATGTGATTCCTGATGATAGAGATGACTGGGAAGAGAGATTCTGTGAAGGAGTGAATCCAAAGACAAAGAATCACCGAATCATCATAGACGGAGAGGGTTCAGAGACTGTTTATAATGGCCATACTTATAAGAATGACCTGAAGTATACCAGGGCTAATAGATATATATCTGGTAATGACAAAGGTGTTGGACTAACAGTTTAAACTAAAAAATATGCTCTAATTGAAATACCATTATAATCATAAATATTTTATTTTATTATATGATTGAATAATTTCCATCTCTCTGATTGGCTGAGATCCAACTATGTTAGAAAAATATTATGTTGTATTGACCTGCACGTGACGTTCCAAGTCAATACAAGGCTTTATTTCCTCTACATTGATCTAAAAATAGATTAGGAAATTCCAAATTGATACAAATTGTTTAAAAAAGCTAATTAAACGACTATGGTTTTTATTTCCATGTGAACAAAACATAAGCGAATATATATTTCAGGTGAGGGTGGTAAGAGGGGATGCAGGGAAGCCCCCCACCCCCTCCCTAAAACTTTTACTGAACAACAAGTTTTTGTTTTACTTTTTGGCAGTCAGTTTTCCCTGATAATACTCATTCCTTTCAAAATCTATCCTATAAAAAAGACTGACATTATATATTTCTTTCATGGATACTAAAATTGATTTATAAAAACATTCCAAATTGATTCGATTGGTAAGGTTTATTAACATTTTAATTCCGTTTCTCTCTTGTATTTGGCTAGGATTTAATAAAATGCAAACAAGTACTGAGCTGTATCATTTTATCAGTGAATCATATAATAAAACAATTATTGCTGTTTTTTCGGTCAATACAATGATTTAGCCATCTTCGAAGTACAATATTCACCTCGCCCTTCGGGCTCGGTGAATATTGTACTCCTCAGATCGCTAAATCATTGTATTGACCTCAAAAACCAGCAATAATTGTATAGTATTTCAATATCATCATATTTTCAGTTTTTGATATTAGATTTTATGTTTAAAAGAATGACTTGTAATAATTTTTTATGTTTTTTAGCCAACTGGGACGGTATCTATGACAATGAGACAGGAATTCTGGGATACTCTGTGACAGCTGGGGAGTCAATCTGTGAGGAGAAAATAAAGCAGCATCACGATCCTCATGCTCACCTGTTTGACCGGTCACAGTGGACACACAGTGTTATGATGTCCCCACTGGAAGAACCATACACTGTTTTACCAGGTGTGATTTATACTCCATATTTTACATCTGATTCAGAATGACTGACTTTGATTTCTTGTTGAAGTTTTAAGCTATGATAGGAATTTACAGTATTTTATTTTTAGCTTTACTGGTCAGAGACCAGAAGAGCTTATGCGATAGTTATGCGTCCGGCGTCTGTCCGTCTGTCTGTCTGTCTGTAAACAATTTTTTTAAAATGCTTCTCCTCCTACAGTTTTGGTTTGATTTTAATATAACTTGGCACACAAGCAGACTACACTGAGATACATAATTCTGATATCGGTTTTTGA